CACGCAGGCGTGAGTGCCCCGGTGCGGCATCTCCCTGGCAAATACTCTCCAGCCTGGAGCAATGTTAACTCTGAAACCTAATGGGGGCGATGGAATTAAGCGGCCCTGCTTGCAGTTTCCCCGTCAGGATGGGATGAGTGAGGTGGAGGTGGAGCCTGTTACCTCTCTGCTAATTTATCCCAGGTTCACTGATTTAAACAGCATTTTCTTTCTCTCTAGCCCTTTAAGCACGGTGCCACCAATAAAAGGAATTCTTCTATACAGGTTTTTCAGTCAACCTTCTTATGTGTGATTTAGGGAAAATAGTTATTTCAGTTGCATATTAAGCCCTCAGTAATCTGATGGTGGACAAGTGGAAAGGGTTGGTCACAGAACCGGCATTGGCATTTGCAACCGGAGTGCAAGCATTGCTGCTCACTTAGTTAATGAATACAGCTCACCCATAAGCACAACATCAGCGAGTTGTATCTGAAGATGGAATCCAGCCACAGCTGGGGAGCATGGAGCAGGCAGCAAGCAGGAATGATGCAAGTCATCCAGGTACTGGTCCTACAAGACACGGCCGCAAATGATCCCATCACAAGGCACACCCTAACTTCTGCAATTCCCTTTTGTGGTAGTGCCCTTTTTCCTGCATTAGCTTGTCTTTTCACAGGTTATTTCTTTCCAGGGTCCATGTGTCCAGACTATTAATTTCATCCCTAGCAGAGAGAAGTAGTTCTTCCACTACATCATTGGTGTGGCACTCATGACAGTGAAGAAAGTGACTGCTTTGCCACGGCAGTGTGCAGGATCTCCAGAGAGCTGTTGCACACTGCTGGGTCACCTTCCCCTCTCTGCTTGCCCATCTTCTGAAGTCACTAGCACCTCTAGCTTCCTTACCTTAGATTAGGTTAGAGTGAGTAAATACCAACGTTCAGCAGTCACAGATGAGTTTCTCCCCTCCCTGTCCAGGCTGATGTAAAGCAAAGGTGAGGAGTGCTTGTCAGCAAAGCCATGGTCAGGCTGCCCTTTGGCTTTTATATAAAGAGATCTGTGAAACAAAAAAGGGCTTGTGTCTGTGTGCTTTCTAAACACATGTAAAGTAGCCTGAGGCTTTTTCTGTCGTGGTAGTTTGGTTTTAGGATCAACTTGTTTACAGTTTGACTTCCTAAAAGCATTGTGAGTGCAGCCATGATGTTTATCTGTCTGCCTGGCCATCCAGGCACATCATCACAGAGTCTGAATCTGTTGCACAATTTTGGCTTAGTCTGAGATGGACGTCTCCAAAAAGTTAAAACTCCTTGTGAAATACCAGTCTTTAGGGTGAGCACAGTCCTGCACATGCCTTCCCTCACTCCTTCAGGAACTGTTCCCTTACACAAGGCATGCCCAGAAAGTCCCAGCTAGGTGTATTGCTGCAGGGAGACAGGGGACAATCACCACAGACCTACAAACCCCGTGAGTTAATGCTGTAGCCATACCTGCCCTGGTAGGGTGCAGCTACCAGAAAGCAGAGTCTTAAAGCTTTTGACCCAAGCCAGGGTTAAAAATGCACATGTAAGCCCAACATCAACTGACATCCCTTCCCCCACAGGCTGGCATTTTGAGTTTCTTGCCTGACTTAACCTAGGTGGTCTTTTCATCTGAGGTCACAAAGACCCTTTGTAAACCAGGGGAGAGAGGTGTACTCCTGACCTCCCAGGTCTGCGCGCACGCCGCAGCAACTGTACCCTCACACCATGTATGGTGAGATCTGTGTGTAAACCAGCTTCTCCTCTGCCTTTATGCCTTGGTTTCTTTAAGCAAAAGTCAGAGCCAGCCTACAGCTCAGGAAGGACTGATGAGCTCAAGCCAAATCACAAGCAGGATCCTCAGGTGCAGGACAGTGGTGAAGCCCATGGCAGACAGCCACACGTCAGTGTGGATACAGTGGGGCACTAATACAAAAGTGCATTGCTACAGGAACAACCAGAGTAGATTTTATTAAATAACTTGTACAAGGAACACAATAGTAATTCAATAATTCCATTTATTAATTGCCAAATAGTAATCCACTGCAATAAGAAACAAAAAATCAACACAAAAAGAAGTTGCAGTTTGTGTGGATATGTGTGATGCGTGTGTGTATGTGTGTGTGTGTGTGTTTGTGTTTAACTTAAACTGGCAAGAGCAGGAACAGAAAATTAACTTTTAAATGAGTATGTTATATACAATCAATATCAACATGTTACTTTGCTGGATACATTTATTTGGTGTTATCCAATCTTACCAACAGGCCTAAACATTGTTGCAAATAACTGGAGGGCAAACCCAAAGCAGAACAACTAACCCATAAATAAGATGCAGGATTCAAGATACCTCCTGCAGTAAATAAACAGTGGTGCTTTGTATCATATCTGAAACCTTTCATAATGAATATTTTGTGCTAAAACTCTTTATGTGAACATACACAGAATTCCATCACTTAAATTAAAGTGGAAAAAAATCCCAACCTTTCACAACTGCCTTTTTTCCCCTCCCTTCACTCAATGTGTTTAAATTATTTCTCTATACAAGGTAAGTACATTGTCTGTACAAAGTTAAATATACATATTTACAGTCAAACTTCTGAGACACAGAGTCTTCTCTTCCGCTGACTGAGACGGAAGACAAGCCTACTTGATTTCAAACCCAGGAGCATGGCTAGTTTATCAAAACATTGCAAGTCGTGCTAACAGTTAGTTGTAGTTTACTCTTAATAAATCTGTATAAAAGCATCAGCATAAAAATAGGCATTTTATATTATTAAATACGGCTTATGACAAAATAGCAATCTACCCTTTGCTATTTGTACGGCAATTGTAGGAAGCAGAGTCTGATAGAATTGGTTTTGTTTATGCTTTTTCTTAATAACAAAAAGTCTATCAAAAGAGTATTCAGAGTGGATTTACAGGCAAACATACAGCCAAGCCATGGGGGTTTTTTTCCCCTCAAGGAAATACAAATCTATGTAACTGGTAGTAACTGCTGGGAACAGCTTTCCAAATTGATTAGACTTTTTTGTATGACTAAGAGGCAGCCAAAATGCATGTATTTATTTGACCTACCATCAACACTCTAACCAAAATGAAAAAAAAAAGGCACCCTCAGTGATCCATTGTTCAGATTTATCAGAGCCTCTAAGATTTAATGCTGGGAAAGAAGTCCCAGCATTTCATCCCAAAGCATACACTGGAAAAGGTGTATGATCCTTTAGGGCCAGCGACTGGGCAAGAGGAGCAGAGAAAGTGAACAGCCGTAGGACTCAAAGAGAATTTGCCCTCGCGGATGTTCTGTTTATTGGTTCTACTCTTTGTGCAGATAAATGTCAAAGCTAGGCTGATTTCTCTTTAAAAACAGGACTCAGTTAATTTTGCACACAATACATTCACACACACACCCCCTGCACAAAAGAAAAAACCCTGCAGAGATCAGTGATATGTTATTGAAGGGTTTGGGATTTTTGCACTTTTGCATTACGCTTTGGCTGACCTCTCTGGATTAAACCACCAATCCCAAACTCCTTTTCCACACAGAGCTCTGCAATTCAATTGAATCAGCTGTCCTCTGCCTCTGCTGGGTCTTAAGATGCATGACATGAAGGAAAGGTTTTCTATGGAAATAGAAGGCAGAGAATAGTGAGTCTTCAGCAAGGCAGAAACTGGGCAGCAAGCCTGTTTCCTGAACTCCTGTTCCTGAACTCCTGTGCCAGCCAACGTGAGCAGCTGCGGGGCTGAGTACTGCCCCAAAGCACTACCCTATCTCAACACACAAACAAAACCTATACCATGTGCTTCCCTGAAGCCTTCTCAGAGGTAAGTACTCCGTACAAATTAAGATTATCATCAAAACTTACTGGGGAAGGGAGAGGAATACACAAAGGCAGCACTGTAAACTAGAAACTGTCTCTTCTTCAGCAAACAAATCACACCCTGACTCCATGGAAGCAGGGCTACACATTCAACTCAATAGTGTACCACATAACCACATCCTCCTAACACTTCTCATCTCTTGTCTATTACATTCATAAATTGTCTGTTTCTTCACTGTTTAAAAACACCATCTGGAAAGGACTCCCACCATCCTTGTCATGGTGGGATCACTGTTACTTTACAGGTACAGAAGCTTCACGTAGTTGCCTGGGAAGGTGCCAAATTGCCTTGTTCTCCTGGATGTACCTGTTGCAAAATAAAACACAAGGAAGACTTAGTAAGATGGAGACATACCTACACTTAAAAAGGTACAGCTGGCAACCTCTTCTGCCTGCAGGCATTAATTCCTAATACTAAAGAGGAGCCCTAGTCAAAGAGTCTTTTGGTACAAACCAGATCACAACTAGCTCTGCTACTAATCATCTTTGGTCATCCCCTTTAACAATTAATAAGGTGCTGGTGAAAGCTCCTGGACCTATAGGTTAGAAGTCAAACTCCTCTCAGTGCAAATGAGCTAATCTCCCTTAAGAAGAGATGGCAAGCCTAGATTTGAAATGTTGAGATAGAGAACACTGTCCAGACTTGCACTCCTTGAAGGTAAAGGATTTTGCTAAACATGCACTTGAGGCTGGATTTTCAGGGACTGCAACTCCTATCCGTGTGTTCTCTTCCCCCCCTACTTGCCACTTTCTGTAACTAGTCATGGCTCCAATCAGCTTTGGAAATGCTACAGAAATCCAGTTTTTCTTGGTTCCCTCAGTTGCTCTGTCATCTGTGTAAACAAGAAGGATCTGGACAAAGAGAGGAATGGAGATACTAAGAAGATAAAAAAGGAAGTACTAGAGATCTAGCAAGGAAAACAAAGCTCCACCACCTTGCAGCCTAATTTTAATATTCTTGGTGGGAAAAGATGGGAAATTGTGGAAAAACTGAAGTCAGTTTTTTTCATCATTTTGACCTCACAAATGAAAGCAACTTCTGCAAAACTGATCATCCCAATAAGCTCTGCTCACAGGCAAGTGTCACACTCACCCACAAACCAGCCGTCATCACATTTCTCCATCACATCAACAATGTCACCGTCCCTCAGTTCCAGCTCATCATCATTCTGAGGAGTGTAGCTGTAGAGGGCTTGGTAGCTAACTCTGAAAACCAGAAAGACAGTAGATGTTAGGCATTGAATTTGACATCCCTTCAGGAGGAGATGTTCCTCTTCCCCTAATTCCTATTACATATTGCTGAATGCAGTCTGGACCTGTGTTTGCCTTTTGAGAGGTGGCAGCCACCTGCATTGAATTTGCTGTTGTCAAAAGGTCATGGTAGTAAAAAGTGTCATACCTACACTGCGTGGGATATGTGGAGAGCTCCTGCTCCCTTTCTGCCATGTAGTTGTCTGCACAGACAAACAACCAGAGCCTTCCTAACTTGTAGCACCTAGACAGTCTTCAGTTGCAGACATCCCATTAAGTGCAAGCCAAAACCTGGATACACTCATTCTTGGGCTAAAGGAGACAGGTGTTTCCTTGCTCAGGCACATAGGCAGAGAAAGCCATAATTGACCACATGGCAGAGCAAAGGACTTTAGAAAAAGATATTGCCTACTCTACTGCACTCTATATACATGGATAAATCATGGCTGAGGAGGTATGGTGGAATAGAAAACCCAGAGATGTCATTTGTACCACAGGCACTGTGTATTCACTAGAAAGGATCCTTAGGGAGTGGAAACAATCTTTGGGCAAATTTGGGGAGGCTTGGATCCCCTGCCCAAGGAGCATGAAAATAGAGCTGATGTGAGATGCTCCTTCTCTGCAAAAAGCAAAGGCTCCTCTCACAAGCCAACTGCTATACCATCAATCCCCAGCACACAGTGCAGGCTGCTGTTCTCAAAACCATCAGTGTAAGGCCCCACCAAGCTTAGTGGCAGCTCCACTGAACAGCTTTGAAAATCTCACCCCTGGTCTCTCAGCTACAAATGCACCTGTGGAACTGGTTAGCAATGCACCGAGTGGCATCAGCGTTGGGATTCTCACTGCACTGTCAGAAGCCAAGAACAGAGTGGAACACATTGATCAGGTATAGCCAGTGGAAACGAACTTGTTGCCAGCTTCAGGATACAAAGACACTGAGACAGCCTCTGTAATGGAGACCCCATCCAGGATCACTGTTGAGGTGCTATACAGGTCATTGAGGTCATTGTTTCAGATGCTATACAGACAGGGCACAGTCTGAAACCCATCATGATATGTGGCTACTTTTGTTCTTTAAAGCAAAGCTAACATTTTCACATGATTCTAATTTACCACTGAGAGCTCTCACACCTCCCTATCCTCACCACCAGTCAGAAACATGGGCCCTGGAAAGGTGGGAACCAAAAGAACTTACATGTCTCGTGGTGTTTGACTTCGCTCAGGGCTGGCTCCTTGCTGCTGTGCTTGAGGTTGCTGAGAAATGATGAGAGATGATTTATGGTCATTAGAGGTCACCTTGTGGCGAGAGTCAAGAGGCTGAGAAATAGTACTGCAGTAATGAACAGACTTTTCTGCAATGTTTATGATTTCATTGCAAACAGCTTCCTGTGTGGTAGGCAGCATTGACATCCAAGAACACCCAAAGGACAGTCAACAGGGGGAAGGGAGGGGAAAATATAGATAAGAAGAGATGGGACATTCCAGTTGCAGTATATAAGTCCAGTAAAAAAACCAAAAACAAAAGAAGAGTTGTAGATCCAGGTACATATCCAGGTAGTGGAGTGCAGAAGGGATCCAGATGTAAGCATGGAAAACAGGCAAGATATAGAAGAATTTGGCATTTAGTTTGAAGATTTGTAACAAATACATTTACACATATTTTTAAAAGAAGCAGCATAAGAGGTTGCAATTAGTTATGCAGTGGCACCATTCCAAATGCTATGAAGTCAGTTCAAGAATGCAAGGTGAGGTTGGGCTGCTCCATTCATGCATTTGGCTTCATTTAACTTATACCCAGGATGTGGCAGCACAATTAGCCCAACTTCTCATTGGCTGTGACAATTTTTTCTAATTGTTAAATTCCCTTCCTTCTGTTGCAAACAAGCAATATATGCAAAGAGATAAATATGTATCTACTTTGCAACTAAAAATAGTGCTGGCATTTTATCTCTTACTGAGGTGTTACTCTCTGGGTGAAGAGTGTCTAGGACTACACATCTGAGTTAAACAGGGGCCTTACCACATAGCTCTTTTCAGACTCTGTGAGATCTGGTCCAGCTCTCAATGAATGGTGGGAAGGCTGTGTGATCACCAAGCAAATGATAAGGAAGACATTTTAGCAGATGTTATATTGGTTTTAAAAAATGAATTTAAAAAATGTAAATGGAGTGCGGACAACAAAAGGAAATGAACAACTCCTCCCCTCCCCACCCCAACACCATACTTTTTGGACAGCAAGATCCTTAATTTACACAAGAGACATTGAGGCTACAGTAACACAACAGCAGCACACAGTGCTGCAAGGGAAAGCAAAACAGAAGGTAGGGCAGGGAATCAGAGTGGAAGGTGATGGACACTGCTACAACCAGAAATGGTACAATAGCATCATACTGCATTCCTGTAGGGCAAAAAGAACACAGACAGGAACACATACATGGGAGCATCAAAATTGAAAGGCCAAAGGCATGCTGGAAGGCATCTGTTGCTGTTTTCAGAAAAGTCCTCAATGACACAGAAGAGAACAGCAACTTGCTTTCTTTTTTTAGAAAACCAACAGCTCGGGTCCTCAGAAGACACAATGCCATGTAGTCCCAACAAAATCACTCTATCCTGTTCCAAGCAAGGCTCTGAAATGTTTTATTAATTCCCACAACAAGGCAGAGTGTCAGGTCAGGCCTTGACTGAAAAACCCAGCTCTAAACAACACCACCAGTGAAGCTGCTGGACTCTGCCCTGCCTCACCCCACAGTCACAACTCTACACAGGGACTGTGTGTCCCAGGACACGTAAAGGGAAATCAGTGTTTGAGGCTGGAGGTGTTATGGGGAAGATCACTGAAAAAGCCATACAGATATCCACAGCCTGGTTTTGCACATTTTTGCATATTCAAACACCTACAAAAAGCAAGGTGCATGCTGTGAGGAAATGTAATGTCTGAGCTGGTGTACTGCCTGCAAGGTTGCTTGGCAAGGTGGGTTGAGATACAGAGCATGGCCATGCTCTGTGATCATTCATCACAATTTTCAAACTTAATTTCACTGGCCTCAATTTTAAGCTTTCTGTCCTCCTCTTTATTCACCTCAACAGTGCCCTCTAGTAAAAAGCTTGCTTTTTCATGGCATTCTGAGAGAGGACAGAAGCAGACAGCAGAGAGGTCTGTGACACCTTCAGCCCAAGCATGCTCGAAAACTTTGGAGAAGTGCAGGGTGATGAGCTCATTCCTCTCAAAGTTCCACTGAACCACATCTTGGACCTCTGGAGCTGTGCCCATCACTGTATTAAAGCAAACCATCTCTTTTCTCAAGGACCCATTGTAGGCCAACTCAGCCCCACAACAATTCCTTTGTAGTCAGCTCTACTCTCTGGTGCTGGAATCTGGGATCACTGCCCTATGAAACAATGCTCTGTTACTAAGTATATTTCTAGAGAAAGAAATTTAAATGCAAGTTCAATCTACTAATTGCAGTGGAATTTGCATTCAGAGCATTTACTGTGGAGCCTGAAATCCTCACAGGATTTCTGCAAGTCCCTCCTGCCTATCATCAGCCCTGAAAGGCCAATGAAAAAATAACAAATTCAAAGTTAATATTGTGCAGACCAACTGGATATAGTGCATCAAATCTGATGAGGCCAGAGCTAACTCAGGTGGTTAAGTAGCTGGAAAAAAACAATTTTCAGGCTGAGGCAGCTGTAAGAATGTTTTTAGGTGTATTTTTTTTTTAATTCAAGAAAGTGCTTCTCTGTTCCATACCAATAAATTGACTGTTGAAATTGCTCCATGAGCTAAGACCACATGGTCCATTTCCCACTGATTACTTGTGACCTTCCTGCACAGCTTTTCCTCCTAAAAGCATTAGTATCTATGAATTAAATTAGTTTTTCAAAGCTAAAAAATTGACACTGCCTCTGAATGTTCCACAGTGCAGGCTTGTATTACCAGGAGGTGCAGCATCAGAACCTGGGTCACATTTCCTTTCCTGGCAGGATCCTCATGGGGACTTCCACGAGGCAGCTGGGCAGGGGCAAAGGCCAAGCAGGAACTTCCAGTTCCTGATAAGACACATGATTAAGTGATCTCCTCTGGCCTCTGCTCTGAGATCCATGCAGCTCCCACCAAAGCATTAACTCTCAGGGATGCAGCAGAGTCCTGCAGAGAGGTGGTGAAACACCCTATAGTCAGCAACTATAGGTCCAAATGTTCTCCAAACAGGGGTTTAGACAGTCCATATACTACCTACAGTGGTGGTTCCCTTGTGCCAGAGGTGGCTGAGGAATCAGGAAGTGTTTGACACAGCTCCAAAGTATAAAAGATTTCCCCCAAAACACTGAGACAGCCCTGTAACTGCTGAGGGTAAGCTGAAGGCCCCAAAAGTGACCAAGTATTCACAACCTGTGAGGACATCTCAACTTCTACCTGCTCAACCACACTATCTGCTTTGTTAAGACTAAATGAATAAACTTAAGCACATGCTGAAGTCTCTATGTCTCCATTTCTACAGACTGTGCACACAAATATGCAGTACAGTTAGTCCTAAAGCACAGCTGGCCAGTGTTTCCCCCTCATATGGAGTTTGGGGATGGATGTAAAGAGTGCCACAAGTTTGTGAAATTACCAGAAAAAAGTTCTACATTAAGAGCCTAGAAAAGCCCTAAGGCAGCTTTTAAATGTTAGGCACAAAGATGCTGGGACTGCTCAGCAGTGCTCTTCCTGCTCCTAGTGAAATTCAGCATCATCAGTGCAACGACCCATTGCAGCTCTTGTTCATGCGCCTTCCATCCATTCCAGGTGGGAGTTAAGGAACTACATAAGGAAAGACAAAGCTAAACAGAACAGACTAATAGACACACAAGACAGACAGACAAACTGGTATTCCCTCAGAGGAGGGGACACATCAGCACTGATGCTCCCACATGAATGAAAAACCAAGACCAGGCAGTCTTCCCTAGCCCAGGTGAAACAAAAGGAAAAGCCCTGCACACACCAAGCCCAGCTCTGGTGAAAGTGAATGGAAAGCTGGCTGAAGAGCTCTCACAAAGGACACTGAAAAGGCTGCAGAGTGGAGCAGAAGGCTGCCATAATCAGTGGAAAGACTCCCTGGACCCTGGATCAGAAGTTGAAGGCTGTGTCTACAGCAGAAAAAGGCATTTCCATTGGAAAACAGGTACCAAATGCCTGCTGCAGGCTGGGCAGCTCTGCCTTGGACAGCAAGCACTCAGCAGAAACATTGCTGTGCTGAATCTATGGAGCAGCAGAAAACCACTGCAGGAGGTATAAGTTTACCTTGAACACAGTGCAAAGCAAGGAACATGCTAGGGGTAGTTGGTCTGTGCTGGAGAACATGGGGTCTGAACATCCACCTCACATAACATGGGGCTGAACATCCACCTTTGGCTCCCCTCTCTACCAGCCAAAAGCAGGTGAATTACCACCCTGCTGGAGTGGCTCTGTACAAGTGCCAAGGTGCAGATGGGTCCCACCAACATCCCTCACGTTGCTGATATAGGCACCCTTGTCCAGTCTGTCCTGCCTTCCCCACCCCACAGCCACAGTCCAGCCCCAGGGCCAAAGCCACCACACTGCTCACACACTTGCTGCCACCACTGCTGACTGTGACACTGTGCTAATAGCATCTCTGAGCAGAACAGGAATTAGAATGGAAAATTCCTGCAGGTTCCGTGAAATAAATTAATTTGATAGATTATGTTACTACTTAATAACATATTTTACTAGAATATTGAGACAAGTTATCTGTAAGTTATACTTGAAATACCTTCACATGCTGTGAGGTAATTATTTTTTCTTTTCAGTTTGGACTGGGAAACAAACAAAAAAGAACTTCAGAACAGTGTAAAGAGCCAATGCAATTTATATTTTTACTTAATGTAACAGGTAAGAACAGAGTCCTTACACCAGACCTATACCAAAGGGTCTTAAACCTGCAAAAAACCCTGGGTCAGAATTTTGTAACTGGAGAGGTTATTCATAATGGGAAAGAAAACTAAAATTCAAAATCATAAAATATGTGAAACACCAGGGATAGACACTAATGGAAAGAAAACCCAAATGTAATGTCTCATTTCCATGTCTGCTAAGTGATTTTCTCATTTGATTAAAATCAGTTGAGAGGTACAGATTTTTGAACAGCCTCCAGGGTATTACCTGAAGTTTTGCTGAAACCATCAGCCTCTGTATGGATCACACAGATAATGAGAAGCCATTTGCACATATAAATATCACTCCTGGTCTCTAAAGAACTGCGGACCCAGAGCTGAAAATGAGGTCAAGACTACTGCTAATGTCACAAATAGTTTTAACTTGATACTGACAATGCTCTGACTGTCAAGTCATATAAAATATAAATATTGACTTGACTTTGACTACAAAGAAAGGCCATGGGATTTTATTACAACCAGGTGGAACACCCAAAATAGAACTGTGCTAATCATCACTGGAGAGAAACATCTTTGTCTAAATGTGGCTCCTTCCTCCTGTTCTTTTGGATCACGTATATCCAGTGCAAGCACCAGCATGACCCAGCAGATCAGAGCTCAGGAAAAAGGCCAACACAGGAAACTTCTATGGATTTTTAACATGAAGCAGAGTATGTATTCTATTGGACTTAGATGTGGAAAGTGAAAGGGAAGCAGGAGGGGGCTGTTCAGTAAAAAGTTGTGCAAGCTTCAAGTGGAAGAAAATGAGTAAAGGTAATAGGAAAATTTCAGGGTTTAAGCTGTCTCTCTCTTAATATAATCAAGAAAGTAACATTAGCAACTATTTCCCACATTCATCCTGTATGACCAACTTGCCTGGTTCAGTGATCAAGCTAAAGACTGCTTCCCCAACACCCACCACTAACAACTCAGTCCAGTGTTCCAGTTTTTCTTAATGGTGAACTTTCTGTTTCAAATATTGCCATCTTGTGGAAGCTGCCTTGAAGGACTGATGAGGCACCAGCAGATGTAAGCATTGCTCATTCCCACATTCTGGGCACCTCAGACGCAGTGCTGGGGCTGAGCCACGCTGCACAGACCCTACTGCATCCCTCTTCAAAAACATTTGTAGCTCTCAGCAATAGAGCTGAGAACCTCTGAGTCCTACCTGAGAAGACCAGAGCAGGCCCCTGGCATTGTGCATACCAAGTTGTGTATGCCTTATCCCCAGCTCTGAGATGCTCAAACCTTAAATCCTGATCTCAGGTCGTTAAACAATACCTGAACCAATTTTCTTGTGCTACACCATTCCTACTAAAAAGGTCACCAACACTGCCCTATAATGCAGTCAAGCTGTAGGAACTCAAGGTCAGAACTAAGTAAGCCCTGAGTTAATCTTTTGGAGGAACCAATAAACAGATCCTCAGCTGGTACAAACAAGCAGAAACCTAGGTTTGACCTATGTAGATTTGCAGCAGCTGAAGATTTTGCCCATACCTCCCCTTCTGCACAGCCTGGAAGTAATTTTTCTTTTTTTTTTTAATAAAAAGTCTAACTCTGAGGAAAATTATCTCACCTATGTAATCAATGAGTCGCTAAATAAGCACATGACAAAACAATGGCATGGCATGGAAACGACTGTAAGTAATGAAAGAGTAATCAGCAAAGATGATTACCTGTGGCTTATTGACTCTGCGTGTAAGTCTGGGAGGTGGCTGGGTTGTGACAGTAGAGGAAGAGAGGGTAGAGGAAGAGAGAGGAGCAGATGAAGAGAATACTTTTGAGTCTGCAGTCTTTTGAAGAAAAGAAAAATTGGTCAGCTTGGCACATACTCTCTTATCACAACCACTGCTAGTGATAAGAGCATTTACTATCCAGTAAATTTGAAGCACACACAGCAACAGTAACTCCATGCAAGGACAAGTGCAGTTTCCAGTTGGTTTGTCTCAGCTGACCACCTCACTCTGTTTTAAACATGCAGGTTAAGTCTAAAAAATGCTACTAAAATATATATGGATGGCAAACAGTACAGTATTAACACAGCTCTCAGTAGACTTCTGGTTATGACTCAAGCAGAAATCAAATTATTTGTCATAAGTTTCCCCAGTGTGAAACATGTCATCTTGGAAACCCTGGTTTCTCATTATTTAATGTTGGCTAGATGGGGTATGTCATAGAGGCTATTGCAGTGCATCCAAGACAATATTTAGAATTCTATGATTTCAAATTCTCCAAACTTACACTCCTTGGGGTACTGTAATGTAATTGGGCTGGCTGTGCCCCAAGGCAACAGAGAGCTACAAAGTAAAGTATGTATCCTATACAAAGACTGAGGGCTGAAGATATTTTGTAGAAGCTACTGGAGAGTTCCCTCTGTGTTTCCTCTAATTGTAACATATGACTGCACATAACTAAAAATTCTTGGGGGAAACCATCAGTAGGTCTAATTCTCGTTTGTGGCTAAAGCCTTTCATATAATTTTAGAAATGCAAAGGTAATAACTTCTCCTCAATACATACATAACAATCAAAACTCCCTTAGTCATGCACATCCCAGACTAAGGTTCACTTAGGCTCCAGGATCAACAGGGGACACCTTTTGTGATTTTAGGAGCCAGGTTTATGTTCAAAATGTTTTTTGGTCCTTAGGAAAAACCAACAAATTCTATAACCAAAAATGATTCAGTGCACACTGTAAAATCTCTGGTTAGCAAGAAAATGTCTGTATTCTGCACAGTGGGCCTGTGTGTTGCTTTCATCTGATGTGTCTGGTAATAGCCACTGTCTGGGACAATCCTCTCATTAGATGTGATTGATTGTGTCAGTGCTGTGTTATCTATTCTAGAATATTTTTTTCTACATTGCTCTTGATCTCTCTTCCAAAATGTTTTGATCTGCTATAAGTGAATGCCACTGGTGACCCCTGAAAAAATGTCTTAAGATCATCAAAATGACATGTGGCAGCCACTGGCTCTGCTTTTCCAGCAGAGCAGCACAAACGTCACCCCACCAGTTAAACAAAAATCAGCGATTCAGAGCAGCACACACACATGCAGAAATACCTTCTTTTCCCCGCTTTGAAACTTTCCTGTATCACCTTTCCTCACGTCTCTTTTCTCTGTTTTACCTCCCTGAACAATAGCCATTAGCTCCTGACACAACTGGTTGTCCTCAGAGGAACCCACAGGTCTCCTTTCTGGGCTTGCACGCATGTCTAGCTGGGACGGTTTCAGGCAGCGCTCAACAGAGATCTTGGGGACAGCATGAGCACTGTGCTCAGTGTGGCTGCTGCCCTCTCCTGCCTTTGGGAGCCAGGCTGGGCTGGCAGTGGTGTCACGCTGCTCTGCGAGGATGCTCTCGGGGCTCTCCACTGCCCAGCGAGAGGAGTTAGAGAAAGTCACGCTGGGAGAAGGGGAGTCAACAAACTTCTCTTCGTTTTGTGGAGTGGCCTGGTAGAAACTGCGGGCAGAGGATTGAGGTCTGGATGAGGAAGAGGGCAATGTGGACCTAACGGACCTGGGAGTCGAGGAGCCAGAGAGATGAGAATGGTGGAGGCTGACTGTGGGGGAAGGGCTGGCTGCAGCAGAAGGCGAGAGATAGTCAGGGTGAGAGAGGGAGGCTTCGGGCGGAGGAGGCAATGGAGGAGTTATGGCAGGAGTGGTGCTGGGAGACACTCCCACGGTCAGAGCAATCCACTCGGATGTGACCGCCTGCACCTCTGGAGACAAAGCGCGGCGCGCAAAAGGCAAAGGCGGAGGAGTTGGAGTATGGAGCAGCTCAGAGCTGGGAGACTTGAAGGAGACAAAAGCAGGAGAGAAAAAGAAAGAAATGAACAAAAAAATAATAAAGAAAATACAAAACCAAGCAAAAGTAAGAGGAGAGAGAGCAAGTGTGGAGAGAAGCCGATCTGTGACCACATGCATAAGTTTTCTTCTGCTGTGTTGGAGACAAGCTGTCCACAGCTACTCCAACCACAGAGTCCAGCCTGTATCTGTGCTGTGAATACCCTTCTCCAGCCTTTGCCAGTATCCCAGACACAAAACACCTTGTGACCTCTGACTTCATACCATAAGCTCTAAGTCCTTCAGGGAGCAGGTGAAGCCACCATCATGATGGCAGAATGCAGCACTGGACTGGCCTGGCAGCAATAGCTGGGGTCCCAGCAACTCACACTGTGGATCCAGCCAGAGTTCACTGCTGCAATGAACTTTGACTTTATCCAGCTTCAGCATGAGCAATGCCTGCTCCTCAGGAAGCATGCATTGCAGAAGCTGCGTAGGAGAAAGGGATCAAAAAAGCTAGCTGGGGCTATTAGCTCTTCAGGTGATTAAAATAGCTCCTGGGTTTAAAGGACAGAACACACTACAAGTCCTGTCTGTAGCTTTTACCATCAGCAGCATTGGTGAGAACAGATACATTAGCACTTGTCAGACTGTTTCTCAGTCCTCAGCCAAGTCAGTCAATAAACTAGGGAGAGTACTGACTTTATAGGAGAGGAATCAAAAAAACAGGAAAGAAAACTAAAAAAAGGTGGATATGATCCCTTCCATCCAAGGAAGAAGCCTGCAGGGAGCCTGTGGAAGATATGGAATAGCTATGGAGAGGCTGCCAAGCTCACAGAAAAGCTCAGCTGATGTCTTGACTGAGAATCCCAAACAAGCAACAAGTTTTTCCTCTTTACACAGTGGATAAGACTGAAAACACTCCTTTTAGGAAAGATCCAGACAGACAACAGGCATGAGTCATGGCATCTTTTTTCCTATCCTTTCTGTACCATATATGCCTTCCTCACAATCCCAGCTCTCCCCTTATGTTTCTAGCAGTCTTGACCTTGTTTTGGTCCCATTAGTGAGAGGGAAATGCACCAGAACATCATGGCCATGACCCAGAAATTTATGCTGACCTTCCTCTGGCATGAGTATTTGCACAATGGGAGCAAAACAAAGGGATTTAGAGACTCACTATCGCCCTGATAAGTTTACCATGGCAAACATTCTGAGATGCCCATATAACCACCTGCTGCCATTTTGATTTTTTCTTTGAACTGCAGTATGGTTTGTAGTGAATCTAATATTCATGGAAGATCCCAGACTGACCTGCTCTCAAAACCTGAGTTCATGTAGCAGCACTTTCAAATAATGCAAGCTGTTCTCCTGACCCTGTCCCCAAAAACCTTGGTCATGAGTTAGATAATACAGGAGCAGGTATACAGCTTATTTCAAGCTGATTGGGATCAATATAATGACTCTTACAGACTACAGCACTTCTTAAAACCTTACATACTATGACACTTTTAATAGTCATAATATAAAATTCCCCTCATCACAGTAAAGGTGTGTGAAGTGTAAACACATACTCAGGAGAAGCTGGATCACTCTGGATCACTAATTCGTTCCGTCTCCGACAGTGAAATTTAATCACGTGGCTGTGAACTGTAGTCCTTTCAACCTGGCCTGGATTCAAGCTCCATATCAGAGATACAAAGCTGAGTCTCCAAATCCCCAAATGATCCGCTCATTAACCTTTCTGGTAAATGAAACATCACCTCTTCCTGCAGCTGAAGCCTACTGCAGGGAGCACGTAGCTTTATGGCACAAAATTCTAGTCTTAAATACAGCTTTCTTTCAGCTACTGCTTCTTGCACAAGAATGGCACTATCCCACAGTTCTGCAAGGTGTTGCACCTGGCTGCATCTAGTGCTAGTACCTGTGGTGAGGCTGTGATGCTGCGACTGGGGGAGAGGGACACGGGTGGGTCGGGATAGTCAATGGCGTTCTTGACCACTGGCCGCTTGAGCACCTCCACGTACGTGACGGGGAAGATGCCCTGGCGACTGGTGCCAGGGATTCTTCCTTCATACCAGTTCTCATCCACTCGTCGAATCAACGTGATCCTTTCACCCTGTGGGAAGGAACAGCAATGTAGTTCTGATTTTAACATGTTTAATCATTCCAAAGCAGATTACATTTTAAATCTTGGTGCAGCTGACCTAAAATAATTCATGGTTCTCAGCCTATTTCCAATTATCCTAATCCTAAACTCTGGGTGGGAATGATATTTTTCAGTTCAGAGAAAGAAAAAATTGCAGATCTTCTTGTACTGACTTGGTCTGTTTGCAGACTCAGTTATGGTCACATTTTCAAGACCCTACCTGCTAAAGTCAGCTAAAAATGGAAACCAGCAGTTTCAGGCTGACCATGAGACTCTCAGGCATATGAGGTGTACAGAAAGTATGCACAGGTCTGCAGTTTAAACTAGGTCTCTCTATGGTCTCTCCAAGTTTTGCTGACAAAGTAACTTCCAGATCATTAATATACACTGCAAGCCTCACCTTCATATATAATTAAAAGAGAAGACAGAGAAGATCTAATCTGAGCATCAAAACAGAAAGCTGGTCGAGATGAAGAATTTCTGCTACTTAATCTAAATACGGATGACTTTCTTCTGAACAGGCATTACACAGCTCCTTTCCCACACCTTCACTCTGCAGTCAGTCTAGCCAGTCACCTCAATACCACAGAATCTGGCTCACTTAATGATTTGGCTTGTAGCATGGAGAAGGTGAACCCAGTTACCTTCTTTTCTAAATCACTGTAACTGTGTGACTGTAGTCACTGTGTTACTGTGTGGGCCTCCACTGAAACCAACCAACCTGGAAAGACCTGTCACCAAGTATCTAATTTGCCTTGCAGAGCCAGCTTTCCAGCACTCTTGTTGAAAGTATCTTCTCAACTGGACCTAAGGAAACAATTGGCACTTCTTGATTTAGCCTACCTGCAACAAAAACCGCAATGTGCTACATGATGACTGGGGATTAAAAACATGGGTGATGAGGAGGAATCCTTCCTGAATAGAGTCCATTTTATTGGAAATTGCAAATTTCATTTGGAAATTGCAAGTTACTAGTGCTAAAAAACATCATCATGTCTGGATTTAATTAATCAACACAACAGAAGCCCTACCTTTCTGAAGGACATTTCCACTTGGGTATCCCCATTGAAGTTGAACTTAGCAATAGCATCTCCATATTCCAATACTTGCAATGGTAATGGCTTTTTGGGTTGAGCCTTCTCAGCTGGTGGAAGGAACTAGAATGAACAAACAGAATCAGCTAAGTCTCATACACGAAGCCCATAAACTGGTCTCAGGCAGAAAGGGAGCGGACAAAGAGAACACCTGCAAGGAAAGCAGCTACCTCTATGTATGATCGTGGGAAGATGCCAACTCTGCCATGGTGTTCACCTTCGAGCCAGTTCTGGTCAATCTGCTTGTAAATGTAAACAATATCTCCTTTTTGCAGAGGAAGTTCCCTGTTAACAACACAAGTACTCCATCAGAATTTCACTGGAGGAGAACAGATGTGTTCTTTTTCTGTGCAGCAATCCCTAGGTACCAAGGTGTCCATCAGCATGTTGATACACATCATGCTCCACCCAAAGGACAAGCTAACTGTTGAGGATTACTTTGTTCATATTGTGATGTGCAAGACCTCTCTTGTTCTTTGGGCATTCTATTAAAAAAGTTGGCCTGTGAGGGCCCTAATAACCACATGCTCTCCAGAACCAATGGGGTAAAGCTCAAGTCAAATATGACACCGGCTACTTTCCATGCTGGATATGATGAGCAGCCCTCAATTCAAGTTTTGAAATAGTCATGTCACAAACACCTTCCAAAGAGACATATGCTTTTAATCTGAGCTAGTTTGCTGATTAGATTAACATGCTCACATGGTGAAGTTCATCCTGCAATGATTACACTGATGGTCATCCTATGGTTGAGTGACCTCAACTGGGCTAAAAATTGGAATTTCAATCCACAGGCTTCAGTGCTAAAATTATGAATGTCTGCAGCTTAAGGAACTGTGGCCAGCTTGTACTAGGCTCATAAACCTAGTACTTGGGTCCCCAGAGGAAAATAAGCAACACAGCCTTTTCCAAGACGATTTTTACAAGCTCTGCTTTACTTTTTTCTGGCACTCTGGTATGTTCTACTCAAGGGACACAATGGCTACTCCTAATCTTCCTCAGTTTTATTACAGGTGCTAGGGAGATGCTATTTAAATTATTACAAATCATCATCTATAGAACATATAAAAAGTGTTCTCAGGACATTAGCTCATTCATGCAAGTCCTTCACTGAATTCTGCTCTTCTTTCTTCCCTCTCTAGCAATATTAAAATGAGAGCTTCTCCAGGCTCATGCTGACACAGAGGCTTTTCCAGGCCTTGTCTTCACAGCAGTCTTCTCTAAAAAGAACTAGTGCCATAGGATTCACCCAAAGGACTACAACAGGGCTTGGAGGTACAACAATGACATCTGAAACATCTGCTGATGTATCCATAGATGCCAGGACAGCAGTAACCACTCTGCACACTTCTTTGTCCTGGATCGAAGATGCCGAGCCAGAGGCCCACACGCTTAGAGCTGGGCGTCTGTTTAACTTCTGCCCACGGGCTGTCCTGTGCACAGTGAAAAGGATGTTCTTCTCCTGTGGCTCCACCTATCCACAGGGCAGAGCACTCACTTGTTGCAGTAAAGAATGCAGGTTTATCCTAAAAATCATGGGGGATAGAGATGCACTGAGAAAGAAGACATTTTCTCAAGGTCCTTTAGATGCTGCAAGGTTCATATTACTTTTCCCTGCCTTACTATGGACAACTTTGCTTTGGGAACTGGAAAGACACCCTAAACCATGAATCCAATTACATGACACTTCAAAAATGCTGCATGCTGCATCCTAGGGAAAAAGCAGAGGAAGAACACTCCAGGTAGGAGCAACAGGCTGTACTCACTTTAGTGTCTGTGCTTTAAAGTCAAACTTGGCTCTAGCAGGTCTCATCTGGAGAGCAAAAAAAAAAAAAATCAATATATTAAAATAATAATTATGTTTTCAACCCTCTTCTGAGGAAAATCACCCAAACTCTTCTACAGCTAAGATTAGCATGGAAATTGAATGCAGGTATTCTGCTACAAGCTTGCGTGCAACTGGTATTACAGTCCAAATATGCTGGATGGCATCTCCCATCAGGACAAAGTGCCAACTTCTGGCACAGCAATAATTAGGAGCTCTACAGGAAATAGAAGTAATAGCAGTCAACTTTTAATGTGACTAGCCCTGATGAATGAAAGCTGATCCAGTAACTACAGTTACTGGGGCTCCAGGACCAAATTTCTCTTGACATTTCAATGGAAAAGCAAAATTGACTAGCTGGGAAAAACAGTAAGATATTATTTGATGTGGCTCTTATTAATTATTATCTGGCCCTGCTGAATACTGCAATGTGACCCATGTACTCTGTATCAATTGGTAAGAAAGAGACAAAGGTGAAAGGGAAATATGAATAAATTAGGCACACGTTTAAAAAAAGTCTTCAGTGGCTAAAGAACCAAAATGAATGTTGACAGCAGGCCTGGGGTCTAAAAGGTTTACTTGGCTAATTTTTTAAAGGCCACAGAATATTGAGACAATTTCACAGTAATTTTGGTAACAGAGCACAAAATACAAAGCAGTCACATTGACGAGGCTCCAGAGCATTTGAAACTAAAGGGCAGACAGGTGTACTCCATCCATATGGTGAGCACCTCACCCACCACAGTGCAGCACCTCTGGAGAAACAGAGCTGCTGTCAAGAGCCCAGCAGCAATCCATGTGAGGCAGGAAAGGCATTTGGCCATAACACCTGGACACAATATCCAGCCCTCCAGGAAGGCGCCTTGGGCTCTTGGAAAAAATATGTACCTCCTCCTTTGTCTCTTTCAGCAAGTCCAACCAAGTTGAACGCAGTGAAACATGCTGAGACTTTTTGTCTGAATGTTTCTAAAGGACATTAAGCATATTTCAAAAGGAGAAACAATGTATTTCTAAAAAAACCCACAACTATGTGACAGCCACATGGCCAGATCAACAAGACATGAAGTTTCTAAGCATAAGGCACAGACAGGAAGACAATGTAGCAATATGATGCAAAAGATGTAGAATGCCTTTGATTGACTAAGTAGCTGATATTTAAAGGCATGCATCACAGGTGTGCACCAGCAATTCTCAGCAGGCATGCTTTAATATATGCAGCTTGGTATATCAATTAATTTACCAGGCATAAAAGTCAAAGCAGATCTAAATGAAGCCAGAATGGGAAAGGGGAAGGTGGAAAAAAAACAACAAACAACATTCTCTGAAGAGCTAATGTCGGCCTAAAGCACAACATTGTGAGAGGCAATTATTGCTTTGGGTCAAGCAGCAGACTGAGGTAACTAAAACAGACCTCTGACCCAGATTTCCTCTTTGCAGTATCGTCTACATTTAGGAGGTCCCCAAATCGTTCATTAGTGATAAACTGATGGTGCGTTGGAATAACCCCTGTGTGCCTTCTAGCGGCAATATCAGCTTCTTCTTGCTCACGTTTAAGCCGTCTCTGGTCCTCTAAAAGTTTCTGCCATAAAATTGCATAAAATGGGCAGTAAATCATCTAGTTAAAGATTCCTGAGTTCCCTGCAAATAGCTGGGGCTTTGCAGTTCAGTATCAAATATTGTTTCTACTAACTAAACAATACCCTTTCATTTTACAAACACAGAAGGTACATCATCATTATGGCATAACTGAAATCTAGCTCATACAGAGGATCTGAGACAAAACTGATGGAAGTCAATGAGGAATTTTTTCCAAGTTTTGGGCAGGTCTTAGGAGCTTCTAAGAAGATTGCTGATAATGCAGACACCTGATCCAAACCCCCTTCCACCAAAAAGAAGCATCTCTCATTGACTTCCAAGAGACCTGAATCAGCCCCATTGAGTTCCGAGGCACCAAATTCTTTAAGCCTTGCAAAGAGCTTGGGAGAGTGTCTAACCACATTCAGGCTCTCCCATAGTTCTTCTGGGCTCATGTAACACACTTTGTAAAATAAAGTAAATAAACACCTAAAAATTATTTTGGATTTCTAAACTCTCTGGCACATTAAATGGAAACATGCATTCTTGTGCATCTGCACAGAAGGATTCTTCCACCTTCTGGGGCTGACTGTAGGCTGAAGAGTTCAGCTGTGTGCTAACTCATTTGAAACCAGAAGGTCTTACTGAATTCTGTAAGGTTTTTTACCTTACATGAGTTTGCATGCTGCATTTTGGAAGTGGGGGAATTACCAACTTTCACAGGAGAAGACAGCAAAAAACCATTTTTTACACAGGAATTAAGAACAGATTTTACCATATTTCAAAGCACATATAAACATTATCTGAACTCAGGAAGTTAACACTAAAAGCAAAACTTACCCCCCGCCCCCCACCGGCAAGGGAAATTAGTTCCATCTTCCAGGAAAGCAAGCACTTCTTTAGCTCAGCTTAAATACACCCAGTGCTGAAGTCTACGTGGCTTTCCTATTATTTCAGCTTGTCCCACTGTTACCCAGGCATTTCAAAAAGGACTGCTACATTCTGTTGACAACAACTTCAGACACCATAAAGAATTCTAGTTTGCACTGGGGGAAAACTTACAAATTTCTGATAGCTTAAAACATCTTACCCTCAAAACTTGAGGACTACCACAGGAATAATAGTGTTTTCACCAATTTGATTAATGCTGACTCAAGTGGCTTGCATGAAGAGCAATTACAGATTACCAATCTTTTTCTGCAAGTACTAGGGTACTTCTCACATACATTTCCAATCTTTTTATATTACTCAAAGCCTCTGTATGCAACTTTTTGCAATCGATAAGAACTATCAGGTTTATTTGAAACAAGCTGAATTGGACTATACAAATTACACAGCAAATCAGTGGCAGAGAGTATTGAATGTAAAACACACTAGTTACTGCTTGTTACCCTAACTTGCAGGACACAGAGCCATGGACATACAAGCTATCCTTATGTAAGGCTGAATGCTGTATTTCTTGCATGTGGAGCTGCCACTGCTGTTATAAAGCCATAAAGGAGGGCATTACCTCTTTATCATCATACCGCCTGCGGAGGATTTCTTCTGGAGTTTCCATGTAATCAACTGGTGCAAAATGCCTTGGTGATTCTGAATCTACTTCAAAACAACATAAGGAAGTTAAAATACACATGGATTTATCTAACATAACCAGAAAGGAAAAAAAGAAATATTTTTAAACAATTTGTTTCCATTATGACAGTAACAATTCTCAACTGCCATTGACCAAATTGCCAATCAGATGTTGATTATTTATCCATTTTCATTTTTTCCCTTTTGGGCTGTACATGTGAACAAAGATCCAAGAACAGGGAGAAAATAATGATACAGGAAAGAGTAAAGACATAGAAGGACTTTGTGAAGAAAAGATTCACTGTCATCAAAGTATGATTTGGCACTTTACTGTTGATAAAAGTTTAATACACACACACACACTCACACACACAACTAGACCTTGAGAAACTACTCCTTAAAGCAAATCATCTGGGTTTGGTTTATAATTCCCATGTGTGTAAATGATACAGGACTAGAAATTATCTCATGTTGAGATTCTGGCATCCCCAGAGCTGTTTGAGAGATAAACTGAACCTGATGCGATTAGAAATGCAGCGGAAATTGTTTCTCAGAAGTGCAGCTGTTAACAAGCCCTGAACAAAACTGCTCAGCAAGACACGCAAAAGGACATTAGACACACTAGGGGAGAAAACCAGAGAGTCAGGGAATGTAAAGGTGGGACATAAAAATGCAAGGGTTGTGGAAGAAAAGAGGAGAATGGAAGAAAGAAGACAGATAAAGGAACACTGGTAAAGAACACAAAAACCACCTCCTAGGTACGTCCCAAGTTCACTTTGCGGGTTGTTGTTTGTGTCCAGGCTGTGGTAGAGGGCATATGAAACAGGGTTCCCATTGTTTAAGGAGTCAGGAATGTCAGCCCGGCCCATGAAGCTATCCCGGCTAGATCCCATGGTGGGGAAGTAGCCAAGCCTCTCCACAATGTCAAAGGAGGACAGGCGCCGGGGAGCAAGAGGCCCGCTTCTGGAGCAAGGTTGGTGCTGGGAGTGGTGACTCTTGTTTCCTACACTCCCCTGCAGCTGTATGGGGTCGTCTGGGTTCTCAGGGCTGGGCACTGCCAGGCTTGCCAGGCAGTCTGGGGGCGGAGTTCTGCAGGATTTGTGTTGGACGGGCTTTTTCAATCGGAATGGGAGCGGGCTCATTAGGTAGACATTTCTGGGAAGCATGTGCCTGTCCCCATAGACATCCCCTTTGGAATCAGGGTGCCTGGAGGCCTGCTGCTGTTCATGCCTTCGGATGGTAGTGAATCTGGTGTAGGAAGCTGGGCATGAGCCTTTGCATCTGTTGATTTTATGCTTCTGAGGCCCATTCAGGTTGCTGGAGCTGCTGCCACTATCATTGGAGGCATTTGAGAGAAGATCTATCTCATCAGTGCAAGCTGAAAGTGTGTCCATAGGGATGACATCACTGACATCCGAAGCCGTGTCTTCCACATTGCTGCAGGAGTGGGAGGATTTATCTGCAAAGCTGGGAACATCCTTTTCTACTTGGTGTGCTTTTGACAAATCCAGAAGAATCTCTGCAGAGTATGCAGCACTCAGACAAGTTTTAGACTGAAGAGAAGTGGTGGGTTTGTTTAGCCCAATGGAAAAGTCAAGTGAGGGCATCGATCGGGATCTCTGGATCAGCTGCTCAAAGGCACTGATACGGGAGGAAACGGTGTCTTTGGGGATCTGCTCTGAATCCTCTCGACTAAGGCTGTGCTCCATCCTGTCCTTCACTTCATTCTCAAACTGAGATGCAATATCCTTCACACTGCAGGAGGAAACTGTGTCCAAATGGATCCTGGACCGGTTGATCTGGTGCATGTCTTTATAGAGTGTTGTAAACTCCACCCCACTCTTTCTGGAGGCAGCGAACAGGTAGCCTTTCCTAGAGTTGGTGCCATACTCCTGCAGGCTCATGGTACTGCCAGATTTAATGGCATACTCTTGCTTCGACTTCATCAAGATGTTTTCTATGCTTTCCCCCATGTCTACCATGAAAGCCTTTTTATTATCAAACAAGGCAGTGGAGCTACGAAGGTTTTCACAGCTTTGAGCTTTCTCATGAGACAGTAAGATACCCGTCTTGTCCTGCACAAGAACAGCTGGAGCTGCTAGTTTGGGTTTGAATTTAGAAGGGAGGATTTCAGTAATGCAGGCTTTGGCAGCTGATAAAGGCTTCTTATGTTTACATGCGTGACCTAACATACCGGTATGACTAGCATTAAAGGTTCGGCTATTAACTGAAGAGGGTGCAGTCATATGAGCATTCCCACCTTTACGATCCACTGGTAAGCATGCAGAATAAAATAAATACAACCTGTTAGCTTAAGTGCTAGAAAGCTATTGAGAAAGGAGAAAGAACATGCTTGGATTTCATAAAATGCACCTTAAAGAAACAAAATTCCAAAACATAAAGAAAAGCAAGAAGAAACTGCAAAACAAGCCACGCTTAGAGGAGTAGGTGAAGTGCTGTTAAGGTTTCTAAAATGAGAGGCTTGGCCAGAAGCAAATCTGGAGCACTTTTAAGGTACCCTCCTAAAAAGTGCAAAGCATCATGAGCTTCCAGGGAAGCTGTGGCACCATGGAAAAGGGCAGCTGAACTCTGGGCAGGATCAGGGTGTCAGCAAGAATGCAGAGACACTAACATTGCAAAAATGGCTTAATACCAAGCCTGTAATCACACCTACTATGGTCTTACCACAGTGCTTGCCAAACAGTTTATTCCTGGGAGGAAGAAAACAACCAGAGACTGACTGTGCTAGCACAAGCACACCACATCAGCTGACCTCACCCAAGAGATGCCTACTTAGACATTCCCCATACTAGGAATAAGCTGAGTGTCCTTCAAACAATGTGGTTTGCCATGGTTGCTTTAAAATTGAAGGGGTCAGATCAGGACATTGGGGGTTTTTTTGGGTTTTTGGGGTCTTTTTTAATAGGATTCAGTCTGGTTTCAGCTTAGACTGCAATTTTTAGGTCTGTTCCTGATTTGAGTTCAAATTCAAATGTCAAAATAACCATTCAGGTTCAATTGCAGTTTGGGAAACTGTTTGAACAGATTTTTTTGTTCAGATCCAGTTTGACTCCCTGCCCTACAGGCCTGACAAAATGCTGAAAAACAGCTGGGAGATGGAGACAGAGAGACCTTTTGGGTATGATGTACTATTTTTAGGGAGAGCAGTTCAGAAACCAAGCACATTCTTTCTCCAGTCCTCTCCCCATCTCAAGCCATTTTTAGGTTGAAGTTGGCTCAGAGATACATTCCCCAGTACAATTCCCTGATGGGAGTCATGCTCTTCCTAGTCTCTTTTAGAGAGTCTGCAACAGGGGGAGAGAAGAGGAGGAGATTGGTCTCTTCTGGCTCACATTCCTGGAGCCTGCAGGGCTGGTTCAGGCAGCAATTGCTGGTTCAGTGTCAGTGCATTCTCTGCGCAGCCCTGGCAGGCAGGAGGCTGTGCAGCACAGGGCACCAGCTACACCAAGGTAGCCAGGCCAGCAGACTGGGGTGGCCTGCTGAGATACTGTGGGAAGAACAGAAAAGCCAGGGAAGGGCTCTAGAATGGCAAGGCAGTGGGAGCAGATGGATAGCAAGGCCAGCCTAAGCAGCCTTGAGGAAGAACATGAGGGTGTGGGCTGTGGCTGAGGCGCTGAATGGAGGGAGCTGATCTCTCTTGAGAAGAGGAACCTGGATCAGTTAAAGGCATCATTAAAAATATTGGCCATTGTGGTCTGAGAGAAAAAAGGAGGGAACACTGGGGATGGCAAAGTGGAAGGTTTGCATAAAATCTCAATTGGTTTGAATAGTAGACTGTAAACCTTGCAACAGCTTGCCCATATCACCTGGCTTTTGACACTTTGCAGAATGGAGAAGAGGTTAGTGTTCCAACCACCCACCTTTTGTGGAAGCAGAACTCGAAGGCCGCTTGAGACCACTCAGCCCCTGGAATGGGATATCTCCACCTTCCAGCACACTCTTGTAAATCTGCCTTTCATTCTCCAAGGCAGTAGGGTCCCCCACAGCTAGCTCTGACTCCCTCTTCACTGCATGGTAGTTGGGTGAATAAGTGGAGCTGGAACACACAACAAAAAGGAAAGGGACACCAGGAGGTCACACCTGTTTGCTGAGAGCTTCATGTAGATTAAGAGATAACCACACTTGTGAACACAGAACAGACTGTGCATGAAGAACTGGTGCTGATGAAGAGGTTATCAATACATTGCAATAGTGTTCTGCCTTTGGCACTACCAAAGCATCCTCCACTTGAGGGAACTCTCCAGTCTTAGTCCCCCAGAAAACAGGCAGCAGGAAAGCAGTCCTCTGTTTTACAGATGAGACAACAGTCACAGAACTCATGCGTGATTTCTTGGTAGACACAATGAAATTCAACTGGCTAGCTGGAAGTACACAAAACCTTCCAGCTTCCAGTTCTCTCTCCTTAAACACTAGCCATGCCTGTCCCATACTTACAAAGATGCTCAGGTGGTCATCTCACCCAGTTCAGCCTCCCAGTCAACACTACAGCTCAAGATTCCCTGACCAGTTTCTGAAGCCTGTCAGTGAGGGACTATGCAGAGAAGCAATAGTAAAGGGATATAGATTTAATACTGTTTTAATTGCTAGAGGAATTTCCAGATGCACACAATCCTGTTCAGCTTTGCCAGTGGCTTCCTCTACAGGGAATAAAAAATCCTGGACTTTAGGTCTACCATGCATATATATAAACAGAATGATGTTAAAATTAGTACAATTTTAATTTCTTAGGTTTTTAAAGACTGGAAATTTATTGCAAATCCCTTTTTCTAGTCATGAACCTAAGCACAAGTATGCTCACACATCTGATTTCTAGATTTTCCTGTTTTCCCTCCAAAAGGATAACTGACAATGCCATGGTATAAATTGCCTTTCCAGGTGCAAAAAACTTACTAAGCAATCAGGCAGACTGTTTTCCTAAAAGCTAAGCTAAACTGATACCAGTTCTTGTGCTCAATCAGGCTCTTCAGAATAAGATGGAGTCTCACACAAAGCTATTCTGAGGCCAAAGCATGACTGCTGGAAAATTTGAAAAAATAAAAATATACAGATTTTCCAATGAATAGAAATATTTGACATCCTGATGTCCAAGAGTGATTCAAATTTATGAGAACTTGGAAATGTTTGTGGTTATATCTGTTTGTTGTGGATAAATTTGTACATGTATCTGTTTAGTTTGGATAGATGCTGTACTTCTGGGGTAAAGAGAAAGGTTTAAACACATCAGAGGACTGGCTACGGAGGTGGAATTACACAATGTCTGGATCACAAAGATGACTTTAGTTTCTGGACAAGGAAAACCAGGTCATATGCAGTCTCATTAACTATTTGCTGGAGGAAAAGCTCATGAAAAGCACCATGAAAAAGAAAAAGAATATTGTCAGTTTTTCAACCTAGGTAATGCCCAAACAGACCCATAGCTACAAAGCTATTGTTTATCAGGGACATCTTTTGGATAAAGAGTGCATCTCTTTGGCAGGTAGCTGAGGAAGCCCAGCCAGTTGCTGCAGGGACTGATTACCCTGAGGTTACTTGTTAGCCTAGCGGTTAAAAAACGAAGGGTTAAAACAATTGTCCTTTGGGACTAAACCTGGGGGAGACAGAGGAGGCATTTGGTGAATCTCTTTACTAGCTGCTCCCTTATTCAGGCCAGCAAGCAGTACTGTATTGGAGGCCAAGCAGCCTGCAAGGGCAGGGAAAAACGTGCAGCTCGACTGGGCCTCACTCCTGTGCCCCATTCCCAGCATACTCAGCTTGCTGCCTCTCCACTGGCATTCTCGAATGCTTTGTGTGGCACAGATACTGCTGCCATGAACAGAAACCCTACCAGCTGCTTGCAAACATATATTTTTGCTTATCTCTGAGATTTCCATTTATTTTATTGCTCTCTTCCTACCAAAATGAAGCAGTTGCAGTGGTTGCATGGGTTTCCCAGCAGAATGAACAGAGACAGAAGGAAACTGTGTTGAAAGAAGTACAGGAGACCTCTAAGGCCCCCAGAGGGGCAGTGAACACACATGGTATTAATGGACATCTGGAGGAGAAACTGCCTTTTTTAACAAACCATCCTCATAGAGGGGATCACTGTGCCTATGGACATGGAGCACTCAGTGCAATTACAAGGTGCAGTAGGTTCACTGTAGGGGCTGGCTCTGTGGCTCAAATAACTCAGGATAACTCAAGTAACACAGCTCAGCATTTTGCTCTCGATTTTGCATGTGTGTGCTCCTCTTCTAAAACAAACCAATTCCATGTACAACTCATTTACACAGAATATACTGTTCATTACATATTCTGCTGAAAAAGTAGTGCCCAATAGATCTTTGAGAAATATTGTCACTCCTACCACTGTTCCCTTCCTGTAGGCTGGAAAATTACTGCCTTTCATCAATTGCATCCATCTGATCTGGGGCATGTAACATGGAATGACTAGCAGCAGGCAATCTATCACATAAGTGTAACAAACAATTTTTGTGTATTCAATACTGTTACTTGCATGAATATACAGTCAATTTGCAAAATTCATCAGATGAAGTTAAAGGTCTGTTGATTTTTTTAGAGCCACTGCCTAGCACAATTAGCAAATCTTACTTAGACAATGCAATCAGTCATATAATCACTTCAAAATACATTCTGGATCAAAAAGCAGACAGGGTACCAGGACTCACCTAAAGCACACATATAATTCTTAAGGTACATGCATTTGACTATATCCATCCCCCAAAAAGCCAAAGCATTTCCAACATCCAACACCCTGTCCTACATGACCTCAGATTTTAAAAAAGACATCAACAAGCAATTGATAAACTTACTAGGAAGAATGGTCTGTGGAAGTTTCCAGAGGAGTAACACCTGCTGTATTCTGCAAAAGTCCAAACAAAGGAGTCATTGATATGCACTTACACGTGAGGAGAAAGAAAAAGGCTTGCTTAAGTAATTTTTCATCTATTACTTCAATATTAGCCTATAGGAGACATTGAGGTTTAAATCTAAATGCAATTTAAGCTGTCAATGTCTTTGCAGAAAAGCAACAATTTTCGTGAGTTCCTTCTGGGCAGTGACAGGTTTTTAGCACAGCCGATGCCTTTTCGCAGTGCCTATTCTTTTGTCTGCAAATGAGTCATTGTGAATAAAGCCAAAAGCAAGAAGAGATAACCAGCTGGGCCATGACCAGGAGACACATGCTCATAATTATTTCCCCAAGCTTTCCCCCAACCGGTCACTGCCCGCCTTTGCTTTAAAGGTGTATTACATTTCTGCAGCACAATACATTCCTCAGCGTTCAAAAAATATCAAAGCTCTAAAAAGAAAAGCGACGTTTCAGTTCAGTTTCCTTACTTAAGAGAAGCAATGCCAGCTGCACAGGTTCAATAGCAAAAGCCAGTTCCTAGCCGCTTGCTTTAAATCCATCTAACGCTTCTTAGACACGTTATTTAAAAATTGAAGGCAATTTTAGAAGCCATTCTCTATTTTGTGTCCCCTCATCTATGTGAGGATTTCTATCTAGGAAGAAAAAGCAAATATTGGGTTTGAAAAAGCAGCTTTTCCAAGTCCTGGTGAAATGCCGCAGCTTCAAAAAAAAATCAGCAACAGAAAAAAAAAAAAAAGAAAAAAATGGCGTGTTACCAATTAATCTATCATTTCATGGTTCGAGTGCTGCAGACCCTCGAAGCAGCAGCAGCAGCTGACCTGCCCTAGAAGGCCACAGCAAGGTGCAGCATAAGGAAAATTGTTTAAAATCTCTCAGAAATATCCAAAATCTTGGGTAGGCGTGAGCTCCAAGCAGAGAGCGGGGCTTGTAAGAAGGGAGAGTAGATGGCAACACGCTTGAAAGGCACGAGATGATGACGTGACACGCCAACCAAGAATTTTAAGCTGATTGCTGCTGCTGCCTATTCATGTGAAAAATAGAGAGGGTTTTTTTTTGCAGACACTGAACTCTAAACCTGAAATGGGAACTGGGATGGGGGTGGGGGCAGCTGAATGCAGATGTGGTGGTGGGGAGAGAGACGAAATCACTGTATCTGAAATGGATTTCAAGCTGGATTCTCAGCATCACATTCTATTATTTCTGACAGCAACACAGCAAGCCATGCAGTCAGAACGCTCAGAACCATTATTTATCCCAACCTCATTTAATAATCATCCAGCAGTGAATAGATTAGAGCAGAGAGTTTGGAAACGGGGATTGGCAGCATGAAAAGAATAGGAAATACCTTCTGTGGCTTTTTATGTGGTGCTTTATAAAGCTTCTCCATTTTTTCTAAATCTGCCTCTAACTCAGTCTGGTAGAGGTAGAGGTCTTTTTCTAGATCACTCTGGTTAAAGAAGGAGAAGAAGAATGGGAAAACAATGCTTAGGGTTAGGGGAAACCAAAGGAATGTTAATTTTGAAAAAAAAAAGAGAGCCTTTTTAATCAAAAAAGAGGAAGGTGGTATGGACAATACACAGAAAATCACTAGCAACTAATCATGTTTCAATCATTATAGAGGAAATAGTTTTAGACAATTAACATTAAAATCAAGGGATGCACAGGCCTGCTAGAATCTATTTCTACAAACCATAAAGTTATAAAACCCACCTGTAAAGAAAAAAAAAGATACTGTAATAATACGCAATATGCTGTTAGTACAATTATCATTGCAAGTCAAGATAGCAAAACAACCACTCTAAATTATGGCTGATTATGATTTCAGAATTGTTTATTAAATCAATTTTCTAGCTACTTAATTGTTAGGCTAATGAGCTCAAGCCCAATTAAAAAAGAAAATCACTCACAAGCACACAAAACCCAAGCAATGCTACAAGAAAAAAAAAAAAGAAAAGAAAACCACATACACACATATATACGCGCTAGATGCTGTAGTGCAACGTACGTGAGACACAATTACCTTTCTATCCTCTCTAGTAAGGATAGAGCAATCTCCAGGAGTATAATCCCAAATCTTTTTTGGAGGCTGATGGAAAGCAGAGGAAGGAAATGAGGAAATGAAGATAAGGAAAGACATCACAGAGAATATGGAAATTGGATTAGAACAGAGGGGAAATACAACAGGGAATTTGCATCAACACTGAAAAGAAATTATAAAATAACAACAAATCACAACAGAGAAAGAGAAGAGAAAGAGGGATAAATCTGCTATAGCATAAATATCAGGAAATCATGGGGGGCAAAAGGGAACATACATGCATTGTGGAAGGGGCTGTTTTCAGTCATGTTTTCAGAAATTTTTTTTGCAAGGTGCTCTATGGGATTTTGGACTCTCTAGAGGGTGCCACAGCTGTTGGTTAAAGCATTCTTAACAAAAAAAAAAAAACCAAAACAAAATGGGGGTGAGAACCACAGAGTCATAAAAAGCATTTGTTTTGCTCATTCTTCTTTTCAAAAGGAAAGGGTAAACCAAGGGCCTTTGATAAAGAAAAGGGAAAATCTTTCTCACTTCCATCAGCGTATGAATACATACCATGTGAACAAATGGCTGATTTTCCCGTGGTGGCATTGTGGGGCAATGAGAATGCATAATTGTTATTTTTTATTTCACTGGTTTGGGAACGGGTTGTTTGCGGGTATTTTTGGTGGACAGAGTGGGATACAAGAAAGTTTGGGAACTAGCTATTTCCAATTCATCCTACAGCTGAAAGGGCTGATTTCAAAATGGATTTTTTCCTGTTTGGATGAAGATATTAGTATTAGGCAGGATTATTCAGAGTAAAAGATTGGACTGGACTCCCATTACTGGAGTGAGCAAAGCTACAAAATGCATGTTCTTTAGGCTGTGGCAATGAAGCTCAGAAAAGGCTTGCCAGCTACAAAAGTCTGAGATGGCATCCTGAACTCGAGTGCCTGACACTGATGCACTAGTTCTGGAGTTCCACACTCAGGAACCGGCATAGCTCCTGGGGACCATGGCTGCACGGCTTCAGAACTGAAGCAAGTTCAAGGCAGACCTTATAAGAGAGAAGCACTTGACAAGAGTGCCCTGAGCAAGGTGGGGAACTTGTCACCAGAACAGATGGTCTGCTGAACATGAGACAGATTGCCCTGAGATAGCCTCTTCTGGAATAAGGCCAGGGCTGCATGACTAAAAGCACAAATCCACACTTCTAAAGAATGGGTATACCCCCAGACGTAGCAAGGACCAAGGGTATAAATGCTTTTCTTTCTTTGGCACATTTTCCATTAACTCACACTAACTCAAAGGACCACAGAGATGACAAACTTTCACTCACTGCAAAAGCAGATGGCTATTAATTACATGGCAACAAAGATGAACAGGTTCCTTCTCACTGTGGAAACCTTAAACCATGACAAGTTGTGAGGAGCTAAATCCTTACATTGACAACACTTAGAAGTCTCATCGAGGTGAGATTTATCTGACTTTTACTGCCTAAACATTAGGAGGTCTCATCTCAAACACTGCTGAAACTTCTTTAGCTTAGGATGGAAGGTCCATAGCAATAAAACATAGTTTTCTATGAAAGGCTGGACTACTTAACCACTGCACATCCTTGCTTTCCAGCAAAAATTATACTAATTTTATGATGTGATCAGACTGAGCACACAACTCCAGGTAGCTACATTCTGTGCAGAGGAACTTTGCCACTTCTGCCAGAAAAAAGCCTCAGTTTAAAGGAAACCTGCTCTCTGGTGTCCATGTGCAATTGCCTTTGAAGTCAGTACTGAACCTTAAGAAGTACTTCTGTTTTGTTGTACACACATGGAATCTCACCAGCACTCAAAATTTGTGTGCATGGGCATTTGGCTACTGACCTCAAGGGGAAAGGAGAAATGAGAAACCATCAGTATGTCTGAATATGTATGAGAGGCTGGTAGTGACCCTCTGGTGCAGTAAGAGTAGCTTATTAAATAGTATATAATAACTAAATGAATAGTGTTTAATCAGTAAGAACCAGGCCATAAAATGCTTTAAAGTCACATTTTTTCCAGTAGCCATGACCACTGATGTGCTCCCTCCATCAAAATGTTCTTTGTTTGATTGAATAATTAAGCTTTAGTTCATCTTTTCCAGAGGGGAAATCAAGGCTTTTGTTTTTTTTTTTTTTTTTTTTTTTTTCTCCACACATAGCAACACAGCTCTATTTGAGAAGAAAGAACACTGTTCTCAGACTCCTTTGGTTTCAGGGAAGGGCAAGGGCTGTTCAACACAGGCTAGTGCCCTAGTGCCCCCCATTTTATGCAATGGGCAGCTACATGCATAAGGAAATAAGCAGGAAACAAGGTCATGATCTGTTTATGGAGAGCTGGAAATTACTGATCTACAGTTTACAAGCCAGGGACAGGAATAAATAACTCTCCTTGACTTAAAGTTATCGATCAGCCATCCTAGATCTTGTTAGGCAGAAGGAGAATAAGGGCTTTGTATAAGGCCTTTTAAGAATGAGAGCAGGGTATTATTTCTAACATTAACAACAAAAATGCAGTTTGAACTATGGTGTGTGAAAAAATATTACCTTGTTGATACACAGTGCTGGGAGGTGGGGAATATTTGTAAATGGCTTCAAAACACTAAAAGTGGCCACAGAACAGCTGCTTTATGTTAGTACCAGGATGACTTTATGTACAATCACATCTTTAAATGAGTAAGGCAGCTGTTTCAGATTTAGGGCCTAGGAAAGAGATGTGACAATCATAAAAAAAAAAAATCAAAAAAAAGGCAGGTTGACTTCATTGGTCATTGCAACTATCAAACTTACCGGTTTCCCAAACTCCAATTCCGAAAAGAATTTATACCAAGGTTCATTCTTTAAATCTATCTCTTCTGGGCTTATATCCCGAGTCTAAAGGAATTGGTGATAGGGGAATGGAAGAAAGAGAAGGATAACATTATGCAAAGAATACACGGAAAGGGACTGTTAGAGATGCAGATCCCATGGCTTCCATTTTAAAATGTAGATATTCAGCCTTATAATTTGGTATTTCTATTGCATGTTTCTCATAAAGGCCATGAACTGCTTTGAAAACATCAGTTAAGCCAAATAGCATCATTGGGACCAACATGAATATGAATGAATTGCATTTTACAGGTCAGGAGACCCAGACAGAGTGAGAGATTATGCAGCTTGCCCAGTCACAGGGAGACTCAATGGAAGAGCAGAGAGTCCAGCAGTCTGTCAGTCCTACTGTCAGACACTTTTATCAAGTCAAAAGTTACATATACTTTATTATTATTATTTTAAAGCTTCATTTGGTTAAAAAAATAGAGACTCAGTAAGATCTGAATCAAATACTGCATCTTTAACAGCACATGAACATGTGAGAAACCCTGTTCTATACACTGCAAACAGAGTGGAAGGTGGTTTTCTAAATCATACGAGACACATGTCAGAGAGAGTGCACCCTAAGACCTCTGAAAGGATGGATAGAGCGACAATATTACATGTTTCTTCACAAATAAATGTTAGAATATCAGACAAAACTACAATGAAGGAAAATCAGACAGGACAGAAAACAGTACAGCTGAAAAGGAAATTCCCTTTCATTCATACCATCTGTCTTAATAAAACAAAAAAAAATTGAAATAATTGTAGCTGTTTGAAAACACTGCTGGTGAGGTAAGAGAATAAAAGTCCATTGCTAAATCTTCTGAGGTACCACTCTCCAAAAGTGTGGGATAAAAGATATCTAGCTAATTCTTGCATTTCTAGTATACCTAGTCAAAACCAGAGTGGATCTCCGTGCATTAAAAATATACACGCATTATGTCTGCTGTGCAGGCAAGATTCCAAGTGCTCCATCACAAGGAAGAAGGAGCCCCACAGATGCACAATGCCCTCATGGAAATCATTTTGTGATGGGGTTACTGAGGCAGTTGATAAAAGTGCTGGACTTGTATGTCCCAGATTCTGCCATAGCCATTAGCACCACAAAAAAAAAAGCTCTAGGAAAAGAGCTCAGGATTGATGCTGAATGAGAGGAAATGCAAGATAAATAGTTACATCATGTTTAGTGCCTGATGACCTGGAGAATGATTTGGCTATTTCTTAAAGGCATAAAGGAATCAATACCTCTCTTTTTTATTTACTGCACTCCAGCTAAAAGCACTCATCTTATATAACTGTGTTTACATTAAAACAAAGCCCAGTGATATCAACAGCAGGCGATTCATTACTCTGAAATGATTTTGGATTGGGATTCTGATAGTCACAGCTGTGGGTGTGATTACCAGGTGACAATCACAAAGCTCCTGCACCTGTCTGAAAGATGCAGTCACTAACCACTGCGGTACTGCTATATTTAATGAGACTGATGGAGACTGTGAAGCTACTATTTCCAAGGCCTTCTTTCTTCTCTGGTCTATGGCTTCAAATTAAAGCTCATAAAATAACATTGGAAGTAACACAGCTATCACTTTCATCTTGGTTTTGATGAGCTCTGTACATAAAATGTTTTTCAGTTATGCTGATGATGGTTCTGCTTGTAGAACCATCAGTGTCTTTTAGACTCTGATTCCACAGCTCAGTTCAGTACCTGATGAAGTCTGAACACGTAAACAGTGCCACTGGTGATGACAGACCTTTTGCAAATGCTTAAGTACACAGATGAAGCTGGCCTTTTGCCACAGTTTTAATCTTGTCTGTTTACCGTGAGACAAAATTGATGTTTAATTCAGCGGAAATCTGGCTCCAGGATGGACTGCAGGAATGGAGGTGTCATACCATGTTCAAACCACTCCTCACTGGCACTTCTCTAATGGGCTGAGCCAACACCCAGTGGTATCAAGAGGGAGTCATCCGCCACCCATTGCAATAGGCACTGGGATCATGCTCCCATCAGGAGCAACTTTGTTGAAGTCAATGAAGGGACACAGGTGTGAAAAGAGGTTGGTTGCAGCATCTTCAAAAAGTGATGGACCTTGATTACACTTGGAAGGAAAAAAGAAAACCCACCAAAATACTAAGGAGAAGCATCAGGTCCCACATCAGACTTGATTGTTACATTTCTATTGATTTAAATTGCTATTCATTCTTGTGTAAAATCCTAGGCAGGTTTTTCAGGAGTATTCCTTTATCTATTCCATGCATGGATCAAAGTCTGAGCTGTTAAGGTACAACTTACATGTTGGAAACTCACATGCAATTAGCAGTTCTAATTGAATCCTTCAAATTAATGCCTTTATAGAACAGTTATATCTTTATGCACTATCTTTGTACACTACTAACAACATTCAGTATTTTTGAGCAGTTACAGTGTCACACTTGCACCATGGAAGGACACCTTTAGTGATCTGTGCTGATTTATACTGGACTGGCTGACAAGGTTAGCATCATCTCTCTGCCTGTTCCTTGTCAAGTATTCTCAACCAAGGCTGAAGAAAGAGACTTTATGTCCCTAGCTGTCACAATTCACAGCACTGCTTACTAATTCAGACTGAAATTGGAAACAGCTCACTTAATACGCCAGGTTACATTTCACCATCGCTGGAGAGCTCACATTGAGTCCTGCCACCTCTGTCAGAGAAGTGGTGAGATCCAGCTGAGGAAAAAAGCAGCCCAGGGAAAATGGCCATATCCTAATGTACCTCAGAGGCATCCACTGAGGCACACTAAAGGAGCTCTGAAAACTAGTTCAGTGTTTAAAGCATCAGAAGAACATAGAAACTGAACCTGACTTCTCTGTTGCATAATGCCTTCAACCCTCCTGCATCAGCTAATGCTGTGCCCTAGAAAAAGTACAGCTGGCAAAACAGCTGCTGAACAGGTCACAGTGTCAAACATGGATTAAAAACTAGGGTTAGTGATCCATACTTAACATGGAAAACAACACGTCCAGAAGGAAAGAAGCCTCTCAATCCACCCTGGATCTTGCTTTAGAGAGAACAAAAATGTTAGGAAGTTATGCAGAACAGTTTCAAAAAACATCATACAAGCACTGCAATGTCAGCATAAGGAATCCCATCCAAATAGAACCACACAAGCATTTACAGAGTATTTCATAATCACAGGATAAAGCCACAAACTAGGATAAATCAAACATTACCATCTTTTCGTTGTTCAGAACAGAGGACTTCCCTGGCTGATAGTCATAAATGCTCCTGGGTTCTGCACGGTATTTTCTGGTGTCCACCTTCTTGTCTGGAGGCTCCCAGTCAGTCCTGAGGAAAGAAAGATCAATTACCCAAAATACTGTGGTTTCTGTGGAGATAAACTGGTGCTTTACCCTAATAATTATGGTTTTATCAGGGTACTTTTAACCTAAGAACAGAGACTGTTACAAGAGGAACACTTCAGATAGGGCTCCAGACAGGTATTTGTTTATCTATCACAGGCAGTTGGAAATAGCTCAGCTGCTAAAACAACTGGTGTGGAGGGGAGTTATTCTAAGAACTTTCAGTAAACTTCCAGACTTCTAAATCTTTCCCCATTGGAAACACCTTAATGAGAGGCTTCAACTAAGATCACAAATATAAACATGTCCAAAGTTTAGGCAGAACTCAGATTAAATTACTTTTCCTAAACTTTTGCCTTTTAGTCACATCACTGATTACCTGATTACCACTGCTCTGGATTCTGAGGGCACTCTGGATTCCAAGAGGAGGTTTTTTTCTAGACACATGAATGAATTATCTTAGGCTCTATTTTAATATGGCTAAGAACAGTCCATTGACTATCCAAACCACTATAATTTTGTGCAGTGCCTATACCAACACAGCTGAAACAACAACAGTCACAAAGCATTCAGGGTCCTTATGCTACAAGTTCCTGCTGGTCTCAAAATGGATATAATCAGACACCTAATGCAGAATATGATGAAACCTAATGCAGAAAATGTTCTCCAAAAAGCTGAGCAATCAGCTCTTTTAGGATGATAAACTAATTCTGATTTTGCTCTTGGCATGCTGTCTTTGATTGGCAATGTGTATGTGGATTCATCTCACCCAGAATTCACCAAACAAAACTGAGGCATCTGTGCAAAACTGCTGCTCAAGGTTTCCTCTCCCTTACACTTCTGATCTATTGGGATGGAAACAAACCACTGAGCTGCCTAAACTCTCTCTGGCTGAGAAGAGACAAAGACAACCCATTTAATTTTTTTCCTTTCTCAAGTAAGGCAAGATGACAGCCAAAATGATTGGCATACAAACAGTGCACAAATTTCAACAAAGATGATCTTTCCTGTCCAAACGAACTTGATTAATTAAAGACTCCAACCACAAAGAAAATTCTGGTGAGGCACTTGTTTGCTACTAGATAATAGGAAGCATTAATTATGGTAATCCTTTCACTTGCAAGAGTTTTCTCAGAGGGCAAATACACTATATCTTCAATTCCTGCATAAGGAAGACACTTTCTATCAGTAAATTTTGTCTCCTAATCCAGTGACCTGAGATACTCACTAAAGCAGATATGTCAAATTACAGTTTGCTCATATGAGGCAGCAAATGAAAAACACTAAGAGCATGTAGAAGGTGCTAAAGGAGGGAATAACAGTTCAAGAGCTGGGAAAGTTCAGCAGGACATAAAATATTCTTAGCTCATTCTGCTTTCCCTTCATTTGTACATGCATTCCTTAATGTTACAAAAAGGTTTGAAACACATGGTAATAACCAAAGCAAAAAACCAGGAGGGAAGTAATCCTGAAGATCAGAAATGACACTGCTGACAAGAACCTACTTCAGGTAAGTTCATATGGCTAAGATTCTTCAGAGATGGAAAATGAAACTAAGTTTTTACCAAGACTCAACATAAATCCAAATTTTGCTTCTCCACAATTATCACTACTTGCTTGTATTCAGAGGTACCTTTACAGAGTCACACTGAGCCAAGAGTTTCCACTGTGCCTATGTGGTAGGCACTGTATAAGCATGACACCCAACTCTTGACCCAGACAGGATGATTGGCATGCAAACAGGCTGTGTGATGCCTGATGGAAAAGACAGACAGAATGGGGGACTGGGTTGTGACAATGAAGGAGTCCACTACCACCTAGTAAAAGACTCAGAGTAAAAACCACGTATCAACCTTCCAAAAAAGTTTAACTGGAGCTGTGGATCTAAGGCTTCCACTTTTAACCCCTTCCCATTGACAGCTTTCAGATATTCTTCCAGAGCTGATCTATAAAAGGCTTAGTTCAGATCACCTTTCTGGGCTTGATTTCAGTGATGAAGCACGGTTCGGCAGCGGCAAAGTGGCAGACCTCTTCACAACCTTCTCTGAATCTATATTGTCCATCTCACTCTTGGAGCGGGGAACTTGGGTTCTGCCTGTAGGAGAAATCACACAGAGGAACACTGGTGAACTGGATAGAAGGCAAATAAATACATGCTTTACATGCCCTTTCTTTTTGACAGATCAAACAAGAAATGTGAATTACTTACTGTCCTCAGAATAGGAATAACGCGGAGAGAATGAATCAGAATCTTCATCTGAAAGACAAAAGCATTTTGCAAATGAGTCAAAAAAGTCCCAGAGAAAAAGCACCAGAGACCCTTAAATTTCGTCTACTAATGCATTCACCATAATTTGAGTGATATGCCCAATACTTACCACAGGGAGAGGATCCTAAAGACTAAAATTCCAATGAGGTTAAAATTACATTTGAAAATAATTCCTAGATTAGATATAAATATTAATATACTATTTACACTACTACCTTTCTCCAGGCTCTCAAAGTACTTCAGAAAATAATCCTATTTCATCATAAAACTCCTCTACAGCAAGGGTTATAGATCCACCTTATCAAAAGCTGAGAGATAAACAGAGGATCCAAAGGCCATGGTATGTGATTAAAACAACTCATTAGGTACTAAGCACAGCTGAGGAGCCCTGCTGACAATCACATATGACTCTTGTATTTAGAGTATTCTGTATATTCAGAATATTCTGTGATTCTGTGACTGCACCATTTGCATTGCCTTCCTTTGGATGCTGTTAGAGAGCAACCAAAGGAAGGCAATGAAGATGGTGAAGAGTCTAGAGGTGAAGCCACATGAGGAGCAGCTCAGGTCACTTGGTCAGTTCAGCCTGGACAAGAGGAGACTGAGGACAGACCCCACTGCAGTTACAGCTTCCTCTGAGGGGAAGAGGAGGGGCAGGCACTGATCTCTGCTCTGGGGTCACAGGACCCCAGAGAATGGCCTGAAGCTGAGTCAGGGGAGGTTTAGGTTGGACACTAGGAAAAGGTTCTTCATGCAGAGGGTGGTCAGGTACTGGAACAGGGTCCCCAGGGAAGTGGTGACAGCACCAGCCTGGCAGAGTTCAGAAAGTATTTGGACAATGCTTTCAGGCACATGGTGTGACTCTAAGGGGTGTCCTGTGCAGGGTCAGGAGTTGGGCTTTGATGATCCTTGCAGGTCCCTTCCAACTCAGAATATTCTGTGATTCTGTGACAGCGAAGAGAATTGTGAGCCAAAGTATTACTAATATCTCTGCAAAGAAACCACTCAATGTGACAGAGGAAAACACATAAAAACAAAGAAGATGAAACTAGAATCAACTAGATTTTAAAAAAACCACAAACTTTAAAAAAAAGTATTATGTGAAATTAGTTATGACAATCAACAGCTTGAAACAACTTCTAAATTTTCTCTCATGGAGGACATTGATCAGATACTACAGCCAATCTCATCTGCTGGAAAAAAACAATTTGGCTAACCACAGCTGACCTGAAGTTGCACTCAAGCCTTCATTAAGCCTTTCAGGAAGGCTCAGGGTAGTCTAAACCTCTAACCTATCTGCTTTAGTTCTCTTGGTGAATGAATTAGAAGGTTAAAGTTTCAAAAAGATGGTTATTGAGTCTTTGTAAGCCCATCATAACCTTCAGGTTAAGAAGGCCAATTCCCATTTTTAAACCTTACTGACAAAAACCAAATATCCATATTACACTGAACTGTTGACAAAAATGACTTGTATTCTTAAATACAAGTTTGATTTACTCCGACAAAAAAATATTTGGTAAATCACAAAACTCAGTAGCCCCTACAAGGACAGATAAACAAATGTCTAAAACAACTTTCACAGCTATTCACCTCTAATAATCTTCTTTGGTGCTGTTAATAAATAAAAGATAATTATACTTACTTACTTGAAGAGAAATGTCAACATTCATTATAGCTTGTCATCCAAACAAGAAAAACCATACAATAAAAATTCACTTCAGATAATGGCTATTTTCCTATTTCTTACATTCTAATATCTACAATAATGAGGAGAATAGCTATGTTTTGTCTCTGAGTATCTTATGAATAAGAGTGTCTACATTTATTTCCTTTTTATACAAGAAATATGGAAACAGAAATCTGGAGTGGTTTGATAACACTAAAGAGCGAATAAGAATTGAGCATTAAATAACAATCTGTTTCTCAAAGTTTCATTCTATCCATTCTCAAAGCAGGTTACTACAAGTTTGTAACTTCAAAATGTGATTCCTTTAAAGAAGAGAGGCTGTTTCCCTCTAGGTGGTAGAGAATCTGCCGGCTTGGACTTCATTTCATGGATTGGACATATTCTGTATGGTTTCAGAAATGCTGAATATAATTTTGAAGGGAGCCCAGATCTTGATGCTTCTAGGAGGTCTTATGCATCAATCCATTCTGACATTAACTGCATGAAAGTGAGGCTCCAATTCACCTCTGTATAAACACTGCCACTGATTATGGATTTTTAAAGTGTTTTCTAAACATGAAACATGTCCTGCAACCCCTCCAACTCTTCTACATCATCAGTTATTTTGTATTTCTTATCAAGAAAAGAATCCAAGCAAATATTAGAGAAATGTTTCCCAATATATTGAGAATAGAAATTAGTGTTTAGTCCAATAAAATTTCAACTATACAAACCAGCAAATTACTTTCAGATGCACATTTCTAAGTGCATAGGAAACATTTATGGGAGAACAGACTCTTTAATATATTGTCATAATGGAGTTTGAAAACTTTGTTAGTAAAAAGGATTTTCAAACCTCATTATGAACAAGGAAATATTCTCTGTAAAATGCTTTTATCCATTAATTACGGAAACAGTGTTTCTCACACCCATACCCACATACCATTCTGCCAAGATAAAATCACTTACCCTGCATTACAATTTGCAAGACAAGGCTCTTCACCTAATATATTTCACTAAGAAACTGTTAAGTATCTTAGATACCTCTATGACACTTCATCCACATTCATTTTAACAGTGAAATACATCTTACATTTCCTTGCCTTCTTGGAGTATCTCAGCTCATAATGCATGCTTTCTTTTTACACAATACCCACCAGATGTGTAATACAAATATTGAATAAAATAGTTAATTAGTAGTCTCACCAGGGTTGGCTTGAGGCACAGGCTAAGTAGGCAAGTTCCTAGATTGCAGGACCTAAAGTGTCACCAAAGCACCAAGCCAACAAGGCTGTCACCAACAACTTCCCAATAAGGAAATGTCTGAACATCCAATGTCTGCAACAGATTCCAGTGTTTCTCATATATAAATATTTTGCACAGTCACACAACTATCACTGCAACAGGTGCTGTTTCACCATCCCTGAAACATGCCTGCAAAGTATTCTGATTTGAATATGAACTTTAAAGGAATCTGCTGAGCACATGAAGAGATAAAGTAAAGACAGTGTTATTTCAAGTTGCAAGATGTGTTGATGAATCCAAACTCTCTCCTTGCCTAGATATGCCAAGTGCACCTAAGACCAGCCCTGAATCTATGCTATCAAGTTATTTTTTATTTTAAAAGACTACACTAAGGGACTGATCCAAAACCCACTGAAGCAAGTAGCCTTTTTACTAATATGCTTCAGTGACATTCTGGGTCTGGCCCTAATACTATGTTAATGTTAAAAACCAAAAGCAAATAATTAATGAAATTTATTGATTTGGAAGGGGTGGGGGGAGAAAAATCTCAGTTAAACCCATCTTTACACATAAAGTCAGCAACCTAGACATGTTAAATAATCACTGCACACGCAACTGATAAGTGCAGAAAACCAAGCAAACCCCGAGTTTGCAGCATTAGTCAAATACTAGTTACAAAGCCAGAGGAGCACTGCAAAGCCAAAAAGGCATCATTCAGTCAAGGCAATGCTTAGAGTGCAGCAAATCATTATGAGGCAGCATAAAGCTCAGCAACTAGAAAAAACTCCAGGAAGAAAATAAATTGATAAGGCAGCATTTGTGCAGAAAAAATAGATATGGACCTTAATTATTACCTTCAGAGATAGGACTAGGAGTAGACGCAGGAAACTGGTATGTAGGAGAATAAGGATTGTCTTCTGCAGCAGAGAAAAGCAGTGGATTTTGAGAGTATCCACAGTGAAGTGGAAGTTCTGCTTCATTCCCCAACTTCTATCACCATATGATTTTATTCCCTACTTTAATAACACTAGGGTAAATGGTATAATATTTTAAAAGAGATTAATGGATTAGCAAAGATTTAGTTATTTTATGCATCACACAAGAAGGTATACTGGGAATAACTGAATTTCCAGGAAGTGTAACAGAAAACTAGAACCTGAATCTAGTTATTATTAGGGCACTATAGTACAGTTAACTCAAAGCACAAGACAACAGATACTCTGACTAAACTTCTGGTACCTTCAGTTTTTTGCTGGATTTCAGGAAGTTCAGGAAATGTGTAGGTAGGGCAATAGGGGTTTTCTTCAGGATTGTCTGAGGAGAGGAATATGAATTGCAAAAAAGAACAGAGAGGACAGGTTTTAAGGGGAAGAAGGGCGAGCCAAGAATCCATTCAAGCTGACTACAGTCCCTCTCATGCTGATGTTCTAGCATGACACAACCTAGAATGCCTCTTTGTTCATTGCTGCCTTGCATGTCTGGGTTTTGGGAGATCCTGGAAGCCAAGGGCAGTGAAGTCATTCTCCTCCATCTGAGCATGGGCTTTAGCTGAGCTAAAGAACCTCTGTTAGGAGCAGCAGGATTAGGAAATAGTTCAACTCCTCCTCATCCCATCCACTGCAGCACAGCATTTATCTATGCATAAAGCTCATCAGGACAGCACCTGCAACAGCAAATACAGCTCCAGTTTTGCATGCTCTGCATTTGGTTCCAGAAGCACAGATGTGAGCTGTGCTTGCCTGTGTGTCAGGCTGTTCAGAGGGGTCAGCTTGCAAGTGCTACTGCAGCCATTTCTCACACGGAAAAATGTGAATGTATCAGCAGTCAGGCATAGAAGTGCCCCGAGGTGGGAATCCCCTGAGAGTTCACCACTGTAAAGTTTGTAAGGGCTCACCACAATTCTAGGTTTTCAAAGGAGAAAGATTAGGGTTTTGGAAAAGCAGAATTCAGATTCTAAACTCACCAATAATTAATGGAAACCCACTGGTTTCAGTGAACTTCAAATCCTGCTTTCTTGTGCAGGTACTAAAGCTTGACAGTGTAAAAAGTTTCCTCTTATGCACAAAGAAGTTTCAGAGATAACATACTGTATTTTAAAAGTGTGTAGATTGGGTTAGCTGGTAAAACTGGAGTTCAGGGATCTATTTTGCCCAAGTGCGGAATTATTATCAGCTTTTCTGGTCTCAAATAGTTTAGTTGATTTCATGAGGGCACTGCAGTCCACCTTTCAGAACAACTCAGACCTTTCTTTGGACTTCAATGTTCTCCTACCTTTGACTTCAAAGATTTCAAATACATTGGTTGAGTTCCCTGGTACAGAGCACACATTAACTAACATTAAATGCTTTTATTTAACATCCAGTAAAATTCTTCATATGGATGAAACAAAATGTCATCAAGGTGGTCTTTTAAAGTAAATAAAAACCATCTGTTCTACAGTACCTCTATTTAGCTTGTGGATCTGTTTGAACATCGTCTTGTACCAGTCCTTCGATCTGTCTGTATTCTGTTGGAAAAATAAATATACATAGAAATAATCAACAGTGACTGGGCCAGCCTTTAAAAGTTATCACAAATCTTCCAGCAATGAAAAAAAATTACACTCTATGTGAAAGCTGCATCATATGAATATCCTGAAATATTAATTATTTCACTCAGATATATCATCTCATGTGATGTTTCACTGAAGTAAGTAATAATGTAAGAGCTTTGCAGAGGCAGGCTGTATGAAATGCTTTGTATATTAATCTGGTTTGACATCCAAACTTAAACAACTTCCCTGTTTTAGTCATATATACCAATTTCCTAAGTATTCAGTGGACAGTTAGAAACATCGAGCATTTAAGTCATTCCAGAAACTACTTGTAAGAGTAGGTTAATAACTCTTTTCATAATTTCCGCTGAACACTGAATGAATGTAATCACATTTAAAAGAGGTATCTGCCTCTAAGATGGCTGAATGAGACAAAACTCTCCTTCAGCTGCTAGGAAGGAAACAGAGGAGCAGAAAACATTATTTTCAGATATTATAAGAAACAGTAATTTTTAATTTTCTTCTCCCTGAAGCAGCTGAAACAGGTCATAGATAGCAAATGGAATAATTTATCATAAATTATATTGGAATTAGAATTCTATCTTCCCTTAAATCTCTGCAGCTTTAGTGAGTTCCCTAAGTCCTAAAGTAAGCAGAATGTAGCCCAGGCTTTGTGCACCAACCACATGCTCAGTGTTTTACCCTCAGTGGAATTCCAATGTCATCAACAGAGGTATCAGCCATGTAGGGAGGGCTCCTGACAGTGCTTCTCTTCTCCTCCACTGCCCTCTTCTCACTTGGCACAGTCTCCTGAGCCGGCTTGTCCCGCAGAAGTGCTGAATCAACTCTGTCAGAAACTAATCTGTCTGGCACTGAATCTGGAAATGACAATGGGGGATTTTCATCTCATCCCAGCATTTCACAACATCACCATATTGGGTTCTTTTAAGGCAAAAATTCTAGCAAGTAGTTGATGAGACAGACTGTCACTGCTGGCTGTGATTACCAGCTAATCTGAAGGAAATCTCCCAAGAAAATGCCCAATGCCAGCAAAAGCAGGCGAGCATCTCTCAGGCAGTTACCATCACACATCTCATGACAGCCTCAGCTGTCATATAAGACAATAATTTTGGTTTCAACAATTGTTTCTTTTGACTAATTAATAACTCTACAATGTCCATCTTCATCAAAAAGCACCTGTAATACAGTCTCCTGTACATCATTTTCTGCCAATTTCAACCTAAATGTGGTAGTGGTGCATCACTTTTTAACAGACTGCATTCACCTGTCTGACAGCCCCATTTGTTGCAGACAGTTTATGATGTTTCCAATTCATTTCCATGCCCTAATCAGAGTGTGTAAACAATAAATATTGTTTAAGCATACATATGACATGATTGCACAGGAGTCTGCATAAAGATGGAGGAAAATAACGAATTTCTTCAGATTGCCTTGCTTCCAAATTGGAATTCCTTGACACTGCCCAACTGACACCCAGAGGTAGCAGCAGACATCACCAAGGGACTTCAGATTGTTCTGAAACTCTGCAGAGCTGCAGCACAGCAATCCTTACACTCAGTGAAGGATTTTTTTCTATGTGGATTTCCTGCAGAGGAAACACCTGCAATTTCAGTCTGCCTCATCAAGACTTTTGCAAATCCTATAATTTTTACATCACTGCATGCACTGAAGAGAGAAAGATATGTTTATTCACATGCACATCACCATCCTGCCCAAAGCCATTAAATGTGTAGAAATCTGACAGGGGCAGACAGCGGAGGAAAGGCTCGTGCACAGCAATGCATTGATCTGTTGGTACCATGAGCAAACACAATTCTGCCCTGCAAAACTCAAAACTAAAGGATTCGTGTTTAAAAGCTTGGTAAATTTTATGACTTAGGACAAACAGATGAGTTATTTAGGTGTTTGGTATATTTCTTTGCAGTTCCTGGGCAGTGTGTTTGCTAAAGGCACCCCACAAGCTATCAAAGCAGCAGCTTTGCTCCAGCAGAGGCAGCAGCTGGGGGGTAGCAGACCTTTCACATCATACCTGCCAGGCTACTAAGCCTTTTTTGCTGTTCTGTGGTAAAGGAAGAAACAAAACAAAAAGAAATACAGGACAAATGTGTGAGACATAAACAGCAAGTGCTCTGGTGCTGCATTTCTGACAGGCAAGAAATACACTGTAGAATGATAGCAGGTGCTGGAGAGAATCTGTTTTTAAATACCCTGCCAAAGTGACAGCCCATGGTCCCTTCTCCACACAGCAGCCTCGTGGGATAATCTCATGATGCAGTGACCAATACATTTGCAAAGAGCACTTATATTTAAATTTTCATTTTTTTCATAACATAAGAATAAACATGAGAATATTTAAAGAATAAAACATTGGACAGAAGATGATTTAAAAACCAGTAAAAATTCACAGAGTTAAACAACTTGATAACTAACTCTGTTACCATTATTATAAAGTACATTTTGAAGTAATACTGCTGTAGCATTTCAAAGGGATATAGGAAAGGATAAAGTCATTGTTGGTGCTTGCTGGGTCTCATCATATATTACTGAGCCACAGATTCAATGACTTGTGCACAGACACAGCTTGAAGGCTTTGGTTCTTGAAACAGTCCCTCTGGTGAGAGGCTTTTCATTAACCAGTTCCTAGACTGGAGTATCTGTGGTATCTCTCAGCAGGTTTCATCACCCTAAAGTTAGTGCTTCCTAAAAGGATTTCCAAATGACTTACCCAAATCACAGGGGAATAAACAAGAATGCTTAGCACTCTGTTCTCTGCTTTTTTTTTTATTCCCTAGCAATTAACTCTTTTCTTTAAAGCATGAAAGCCATTTGAAGAGAATAAAATATTTACTGGCATAAAAAGCACAAACAGTTTTGAAAGCTCATATTGTTAGAGCACAGATTAAAAAACTTTAATACATTAAACACACCTGTTATATATTTATGATAAACCATGCCATGCAATGCCTGAACAGGAAATAACTGTGCTTTGGGGTGGCATAGAACACTTGCCAAGCAAGTTTGCCATAGTAACAAACCTCCAGGTGTGTGCTGTTTTCTAGAAGAACCCACCTTCACCACATATTTGAGCTAAGTGGATAATTTCAGCAAGGAAGACCGGTATTTCTCCTCGGTGTAGCTCCCTCACCAATACCTCTGAACTTGGATCTTTAGCCCCAGCCCTCTGCTCTGCTGACCACTGATGGCAAGCTGCACCTACACAACAAGTTCACCCAATAGCTGCCCACATAGGAAAAAAACCCCTACATGCACTGGGTAAAAGCAAGGGTCAGCACTCTGAGCCTTAGAAAAGGCAAGCCACAGCAATAGTGGCTAGATTCCTGGAGTTTCCCAAGTCCACTAGAAATCAAAACAAACTGTACTGCATCTCTGTGCCCTGTTACAAGCTACAGTCTTTAGTGCTGCACAATGAAATGAGGAGCTGTGGTAATGGCAGCCATCAGGAGAACTAAAAAGGAGGAGCAAAGTTTCCCTCCAAATCCAGAGGTAAAGAGATAGAACTATCTATTCAGCTTGTGTGAGAAAGGTGTTGATTCCTGGGAGTTCTCAAATGAGGCTGTTTTGCTCATTTGCAAATCCAGAGCTCAAGGATTACTGCAATATGAGTTTGAGTTGATCCAGTTCCAGGCAGAGGAAAAAAATTGCCAAGATCAAACTTGTGGGCAAGTAGATTATTTACTATTGAGTAAATTCTGCTACAAATTCAGAGGTCAAATCTCTCCCACAGTAATAGAAAATACAGCTGCCTTTACACTGCAGCAGCTGAGAAGTAGCACATCACCTTTTCAAGCTACCACAAGCTACCTTGTTTCTACAGACAGATATACAGGAGCATACAACCTTTTCCACCATGACAAGACACCTGACAGCTGTTACCTTGCAATAGCTTATTCATATGTCCACAGCCCAGTTAGAAACTTCTCCCCAGCCTCATAGAGCTTCTGATCCACAGGTTTTAATCAGAAAAACCAGTAAAAATTCACTTGCCTGTTGTATGTTCCAGTCACTAAAACTATTCTGAGGCAACTTTGTTGGTTCTTAGTAATCTGGACCTAATTATCAACAGCACATACATTCTCCAGTTCCTTGTAGCATAACAGTTTGCTCATTTTGAGCCAAAATTATCTCTATGCAAGTCTCCTTACCTCGATTGTGTTGCAACAGGACAATAGTGGGATTGACGATTGTGGTAGAAGGATAGGCAGAGGCAGACTTGCTTATGGAAGTGATGGAGCTTGGATAGTCAGTGCCAGGCTGGGGCACTTCATTTAGCACAGGACCTGGGTCCTGGAAAGAAGAGCAACACATGATTAGCAGCATGCCAGTGGTGCAACACTGGGAAAATCCGTGAAAAACCCCAACATTTTAGGCTGAATGAGAAGCATAATCACAGCAAATTTTAGTATAAAAGGCATAAGCACAAGTATTACCCTGATCCTTGTACATATCCTGCTCATTGTTAATGAAATTAGTTTGCTAAGGCAGTACTATAGTTATTTGGTGTTGGGTTTCACAACTCCAACCCCAAAAGAGGGCACTAAGTTTATCTACCAGACAGTTTGGAGCAAACACAAGGTGTCAGAAATGAGCAAATCTAGTTTGGGGAGGGGGGAAGATGCAGACATCTTCCCCCTCATACATCCACACACAAACATTTGTTCCAAGAGTATTCCTTTCACAGCAAGTCAGACATGCAAAACTCATGCAATTCTGGAATGAAACAGTATTACTGCAGCTGGTTTGGTAAGAAAAGTCCAAATTAAGGAATTAAGTTAGCATTGTCACTCAGGAGACAATGTGATACCTACCTGATTAAAGAAATGACATAAAAAGGCCCCAGAACTGACAGAGGGTACACAAGTAGGACTCTAGTAAGGAGGATGGATTTGCTGCTGGAGCACACATAGCAAGCTGCTCTTGCTCTCCTAAAGCATCCAGCTCCACTATCTGCTTATTTTAAACCCAGCTATGATAGATATCACCACTGCTCTGGTTGCCCTGTTGAAATACAGGCTGTGTCTGCAGGGAGACTTTGAAACCTAGCTCACCTTTGAAAAGCCTCAGTCCATGGATATTGGACTTCTGGTGGTGGTAAGGTGGCTAAGATAAAGAAGGGATGATGACTAAAGACTGTGTGTGCATCAGCTTACACTGAGATTTTTCAAAGCCTCTTAAGGAATTTGGACACACAATTACCCTTAATGGGGACTGAGCATCCAAACAAAGAGAATATGGGACAGCAAACCAAATTCCTGCATTCCTGCTGCTCCATGGCTGGACTCCAATGCTGCAAGCCACTGATCTGTAAAATCAGCTGAGCATTCAAGGGTATTTTCATCATTATTAAAAAAGCCCTGAATATGCCCAGAATATTGCTCCAGAAAAATCCCTACATCCAGCTTTTCTGGATAAGTGCAACTGCAAGTCAGTGCCCTTCATTCACACCAGGATCAGATGAAAGGACTTACAGCATCAGGCAGGGGACTGAACAGGGGCCAAAGTGAGGTCTGGCACCACAGCTCAAAGATAAATCAGAGTGACAACTGGCCAAAATCAGAGCAAGCACCTACAGCCTTTCCAGCCTGGAGGGAAATGAGGAAGAACAATCTTAATCTGTTGGATACAGGTGATCTTGCTTCGAGCAGCAGCTGGTCAGGCCATAGACGCTTCATGGGGACAGAAAAGAACCAATGGTCTTCAGGAACAGATGTCCCCTAGAGAGAGAGCAGCTCCACTTTGCTGACTGCAATAATATTTCAAACAATGCAATTAGCAAAAAGGAGGAAGAGTCAGGGAAAAGTGTGAGAATTGGCTTTGAGCTTCACTTTGATAACTAAAACACAAATAAAAATGCCCCAAAGAAGAGGGATGCTGGATCAGGATAGGCTCAGCAGCCCCAGTGAAGTCACCAAAGAGGGTGAACAAAGACCAAAGACCATTTAAATCATTGTGGAAAACACCTTGGTGACTACATGTCTGAAGAGAGCATGTCCAAAAATGTTTCAACTCTCATCTCAAGAAAGTCAGGTACAGCAAAATTTCCACTGCTCCTCTGTGATTTGGATGCCTCCTGATTCTTTTTTTTCTGGAATCTGCAGATAGACTCCATTAAAAAAAAACAACCACAAAACACTCAAAAAAAAACCTACAAAACACAAACAAACAACACCAAACAAACTAAAACCAAAACACCAAATCCAAACTTTCATTCGTTGCTCTCTGCAATAAAAACCCTACCAATTTTAATAAAAATAGAAAGGCCAAAGATGAGAACTTTTGAAAATATCATCCTTGGTTGTTTTTTACTTTCCCCCAGCCCACGTGCCTGTTTGCTAGATCTCTATAGAGTCAAAGGGCAGAGCAAGTATCATCATGAGAGAATGAAGCTTCTGCTGAACTTCTACCTTGTCACCACAAGCAAGCATAAATAAAAGGTGGCCATAAGACTTCCAGCACAAGAAGGTACTTTTTGCCTCCTCTGCAAATTTAACTGAGAGACACTTTTCCTCCTTGTCCTCGATGACTTTTCAAAAAAGTAAGTGATGAGCTTAAAGAGAAACAAAATCTAACTCAAGAAGAACACAGTAAAGTCCAAGTTCCAACTCTTGTGGACGGAATTATTAACAATTTTCAAAGACAAGCAATAGCCAAATGAAGAAATACTCTCTGCCTAATCTATTGCATAGCACCTCCATGCTTGGAGGACTCTTAGTACAGTAACCGATCTTATAACTTGTAGGTCATTGGATACTGGCAGCAATCTTACACTGATTTTATCAGGGATTTGTGTGGAGACCATATGGTCTTGTGGCTCCAAGTGGAACAGAAACCTAGCCCTAACCTTTAACTGGCCTGCTGTTGCTGCTTTAAATGTTATTCAAACACAATTAAGGATGCTATAAAAAGAGCCTGAAAAGATCAGTTAGTTGAAGCTATTCAGTTTATGCAGAATTCATTACTCTGAGCAGATCCTGTGAAGATTCTTAAGGTGTACATCACCCAGCAGAATGGGCACAGAGGAGACAGTCAAATGTTGCAAGAAGTCAAAAGAAAGTTCAAAGCTGCACAAGGCAGGCAAACTGCATGCACTAGCACAGGACGCAAATACGGTTTCAGTTGTCATGCTGCTGGCAGGGAGTGAGTCATCACTCCTCCCTCAAGTTTAGTATTGCAAGGAGAAAGTAATTTTAATCGAGGAATACAAATTTAGGAAAAGGGCGAGGAGGGTACTTGGCAAGCTTACTGTATGTGAGATGACTCCAGTGATTTCAGGCTTCAAGCCCCTGTGCAAAGTCCCTGTGACTGGAGGGACAAGTGAAGGTGGTGATGAGAAGAATGGCAGTTTCGGGTAAACAGAGGGTAATGTGCCAGATGTGGAGGGTGCTTGGTTATGGTGGGAGCCCCTCTGGAGATGTGGGGGAATGAAATCGTCAAGAGTTGGAAAAGTCAAGGGTGAGCCAGGAGGAACAATCGCAGGGATTACGGAGCCTTGCCCGAAAGGAACCAGAGGCGGTGGTGGAGTGCTGGAGCTGCCTTCTTGTTGTCTGTCTGGATTAACCTGAAGGAGGGGGACTACTATAACTCCAGGCTGAGCTGAGGTGGTGGCAGTGGCATCCTGTTGGAAACAAGGCGTTGTTATGCACTGGGGGAAATTGTTACTTAAGTCTAATGCAGCCATATTGTGTCATGCAAGGAATGTACCCAAAATAATACAAAGATCATCTTTCCTTAAGGAGACATACTTCTTCAGGCTTGCAGCCCTGCCTCTATGAACACAATGTTTTTTCACAAAAATATTTATTCCCCCTCACCACCCCTCTTCTCCAGTTCTTTGTAGCGAGGCTAAATCAAAGAACAGCTCAGCATTCACCATCACTTGAGAAGCTCTAACCATTATACATTACAGAGCTTGTTTCTTTTACATGTCCCTAATAAATAGAAAGATCCTTGCCAGTCCAACCAAACTCCCTACAAACACCACACACACACACACACAGACACACAGATCAACATTGAGGGGGACACATATGTGTTAAATATTATCAAGTAAAAGACCACAAGACTCAGGGCAGCACAACAAGTGCTGAGAAATTAAGGTAGGAGGGGAATAAAGCATTAAGGGAACATTGTAACGAATTAAAGAACTGTTCGCTCAGCTGAAAGAAAACAAGGTTATGGAGAAAACATGTACCATGCTGTGTCCCATTGCCTTGTATGGTGGCTGTCGCTGCTGAGTAAGGTAAGGCTCTTTTCTCATCCTGTCCTCTGTGGCAGCTGTGCTCTGGGGCTCTAGCACTCTGTCCCTCACAGCTTGCGGAGGTGACGGCTGAGTCCGGGAGGGCTGGCCTGCACCATAACTAACTGCGTCTTTGCTGAGGACAATGTAAAAGTACGGCCTGGGAGGAATAGGAGGAGGAGGAGCAGCAGGAAGAGACTTTTCAGTGTCTGTTACAGAGGGAACAATGTTGGTGGCTGGTGCCTGAGTGAGCTCAGCGCCCAAACTGGTGCTGGCTGCTGGGTCATGTGTGGTGCCAGTGGAATTTTGAGATGCGCCTGAGCAAGTGCTGTTAGATAAACAAGCTACATATAGTTTGCTGACCTTTTTATCCGCCTTCGTCTCATGACTGGAATTCATTCCAGCCTTACTACTGGGATCTGCCCTGGCAGGGTTGAGTTGTATGGATGATGCACCTGATGAGGAGTGACTTTCCAAGAGTGGCTGCCCAGCATGCACCTCATCTTTGGGGCCTGAAGAGGGAGAACACCCTGCTGGCAAGCCTTGCTTCCCACTGGGGACAGCCCCGTAGGGGGTAGGTGATGACAAATAACAGCGTGCACTGGTGTTTGGTGATGCACGCTGTGAGTAAGGCTTGGGTGCATTCAGGTACACACAGTCCATGATGGGCACTGGCAACAGGTTGGTCACTTTAGTGTCAGTGCGAGGGCGCCATGCAAAGCTTTCCTCTTTGGGAAGAGGAGGACGGGGAGGAGCCTGATCAGGCAGAGTCAAGAAGGTAGGAAGGAGAGAGGAAGCAGCATCAAATGAAAGGAAAAAGGAAGGAAAAAAATTAAATTCTCAGAACGAATTTGATCATTAGACTTGGGTTAAGCAGGTTTTAATACAGCAAGAATAAAAAGCAAATACAGTATCTGGAAGGCCACTCACTCACATCCATGGTCTCACACATTCTTTCTCAGCACAGCTCACTGCAGCACACAAACTTAACCCAGCCCTCAAGTCCCTGCCTACGGGTTTCTCTCTCTGCTCTCAATAATTCTCACTACTGTGTTGTTTCAAGAGGCCTGCACAGCTACACTCACCGTGCCCTGGGAAAGCCTCAGTCAAGATTTAACATCATGGCTAACTAAATTCAGTTTCATGCTTGCATAACTAAACACTTTCCAGCACTGGGGACATTTGAACTGCAAAACCAAATTCATAGTTCTAGGCTATCTCTGCATGTTAAGTGCACTGCTGAAAAATGAATATTGCCAATGCGAATGAAAGCAGACGTCAAGTGAGTGCTATAGCCTACTATAGCTGGCTAAATAAAAAGTGAGTATTTCTTCATTCTAAAGGCCAGCTCTTCAATTTTCTTTAGGATTTTTCCATCCTGAAAAAGCTTTCAGGAAGACCAGAAAAATTGCGGTTTTTTAAGGAACTGAGATCATCAGAATTTGCCTTCAGAATCAAGATCACCAAGAGAGAAATCCTGCTTCTAGTAAATAATAAGAAAAGCTTTACTGGTTTTGGTAACATATAGCTTGCTAACTCCAAATCATCTGCCTACTGCATCGCCAATTACAGTGAATTTTTTCTGAAAGTCAAACTGTTTTGAGATAAAATAACAATACAAAGGTTTCATTTTATTTATTACATTTTGCTAGTAGCTGAAAACAAAGATCTACTGGAAAGAAGAGAATACCCACCTGGTGAACAACAGCTCCCTGGACCTTTGCAAATTAACCCTTTGGAGACTGTGAAAGTAGGTTTTACAAACACCCCACTGTCATACCTTTATGGGCAAAGGCTGCCTAAACGACTGCTAAAAATGTCAAAACCAGAGACTGAAGATGCCTTAACAGCTTGCAACAGATAAATCTGGAAAGAGACATCCTTTAAAAGTCATCCATATATGACAAGTTGTGGCAAGTATCTATTCATGTTATATGGATATAGATGTAGAAAAGTTTCATAAAATTACAGGTGCTGTTCCAAAATCTGCTGTCCTCATGTTGCCCCTCTGCCCCTCCCACCCTCTTCCTGAAGCATAAGGGAGTGAAGAAGTGGGTTGGTTAGGGCTGTTCTAAAAGGCTTCTGCCTCTGAATAGGTTCATTCCTTTTGGAACTTCTTCCATTTCAGCTCAGTTTGAACAGTAGTTCTTGAGACTGCTGTGACAAGTATAATGTACATCAGAGCTCACTCTGTTCGTCAACAAGATCAGGAAAAGGCTACAGGACAGCTCTAAGTCCTGAGCAGAAATGGGTCTCTCTTTAGGGTGCTGCTCCTTCCCACACCTTCATTGGAGCTGTTCCTTCTCCCACTTTCACTTACAGCACCTGGTCTGTAGCATTGCTAAAGGGACCTTGATGATGGGGAGCAGTCACACTGATAGGGCACTGGGCTTTAAAGGGACTCTGTTTTACACAAGAATCCAGTTTCAAATGAAGGGTTTCCTTACCAGCTTCCAGGCTGCTTCTGAGCAAACCTCAAACAAAAAAAAAAAAAAAAAAAAAAAAAAAAAAAAGGATGGCATTGCACTTCTCTTAGCAGACTGACTTCAACAATTTACCTTCACATACAAATAACCTTTCCCTTGCTGGCTTCTGTCAGTTATAGTGTAAAAACTGAAAGGCATTTTCCCAATATTTTATTTTTAATGTAGGGTGCAACTCTGATTTCAGCCTGCAGCAATTTCTAGGAAATAAACCAGCATAAAATACAAAATAATTACAGACAGTTACTTCACCTTTTTTCTTGCAAATAGCGTTGTCCTCCTCCTTCATCCACTGAGGAAACACTGTGGTGTGCCTGAATACATGAGCTCCACAACACTTTGCTGACATTGGTGCTGCCCCCATTTTAAAGGCAGAAAAAGCTGAGGCACAGCAACTTACCCATCTGCAGTCAAGTTTGGAGCTCAGCCCAGGACTCCTGATCATGAATTCAGTGCTTGAACCCAGATGGTCACCTCAGGGTCACAGAAGGCAGGCTTACCTGTGGCTTGGTCTCTGCAGAGAGGTTTGGACGCACACTCCTATAACCCTTGGCAGCCAGAGAAGATGGCTGGGCATCCCCATTGGCATCAGTGTTCGACGATGACCTCCAATCATCTGCGTGGGGAAAGAAAACTCAGATCACAGATTCCCTCCAGTTGCAGGATAAGTGAAAGGAGGGGACGCTTTTCTTCCTTCCCCTCCCCCCTTTCTTTTTTTCCCCCAGGCAACAAGAAATAATTCCAATAAGCAACGGAAGTAACAACAGAAGCAGCCAATGTTTATACCTGTTTCTGAGTTTTCTGGCTCCAGACCTAAGTGTTTCACAGAAAGGACGGACAGAGGAGGTGAGGGTGGAGGATAGGCATAGAGGAAAAGAAAGGGGGGAAAAAATAAACCATTACATTTCCAGAAAACATGTACCAATTGAAGTCAAGAGTCAAGCTACTTCATTTCACACATAAAATGCTTTCTGACAGGGCTGTGGAATTACCATAGAGACCAGCCCTAAACATGATGTCCTCCTTGTTTCTGACCTTTGTAAACACAAGGCAATTCATTCAGAGCAATGAAGAAACAATTGTTCATTGACATTCTTACTTCAGAGGCAAAAAGGCTGCCCAGCTAGCTACTTTCTAAAGCTGCAGCTTGACATCCAGACACCACAAATTACTGGAAATGTAGGGACCCTGTATTCAGATTATGAAGACATAACTATCCTTAACAATATCACTATATGTGATTGAGATAAAGGATTACCAACAAATAGATCAAGTTTTGCAGACTAAGTGCATGTAGGTGATAATAAGATACATCATCACTTTACAAGCCAGTCCCTGCAGCTACATGCAGTGGTCTCATCACATATTTACCTGCTTCTCACTGGGGTCCTCCCCACCCTGTACCTATTTTGCTGTTTAAGTTATATGCACAAAGCTCTTCCAGCTCCAAAGTACATTTCATAAAGCAATTGAGAGAGTCAGCAAAAGAAGTATTAATGAACTGATTTCCATAGTAATGGACCCATTGCCATTCAAGCTGTTAGAAATTTATGAAGCCATCAACAGAAAGGAGAGAGGCAACAGTAGGGGGTAGGAGTGAAGAAAGAAAGGCAAGCATAAAAAGAGGATAGGTCATGGGTGGAGCAGAACAGGAGAAGACAGAGCAGAAAGTGGCACTTAGGGCTGGAATTAATGGAATTGCCCTTTCTCCAACAATAGAGTCAGAAACAATGTATGCTTTGCTTTCAGGAGCACGTTTTACCCCCTCCCCTTTAACGGCATCTTGCCTTTGGGAGTTCATCCTCTTTGCCAGCCCCACGACACTGGCCAGGTTTGCTATGCTGTGCCTGTCTCCCACAATTAAGTAATTACACATCTGCTATTGAAAGGCAGCAGAGCTCTGTGGCAACACTGTCCGGCTGGGGGACGCTTTGCCGGCTTCCCTGACAACCCAGCTGAATGCTGCAGGGGCAGCAGCACTCCTCAGCTTCCTTCTGTTCCACCTCATGCCTGGGGTAAAAAGAGACCACAGACTGCCCTGGGAGCAGTGGGGGTGGGAGGGGAAGAAAGAAAAGAACTGAGAGTTTTTGGTGCTCCTGACAAACTTTAGTCAATGACTGAGCAGTCATGAAACCGGCACTAGGAGTCACTCTCTCTACTGGTCTGGTCCTTGCAAGAGGTTTCCAACTATGCTATGGAATTCTGGGCTTTAAAGCATAATTATAAAGTAAGCCCAAGATCCTGGACTGACCTGTCTTGAGGTTACTGTGAGTAACAGATGTCAGTTAACCTTCTAGCACTTACTTTCAGGTTGCTCAGCATCCTGAGGACATGGTGAAGTGACATTCCGATTCCCTTCATAGGATGGAGTTGCCCGGAGAGTTACAGCTCCTTTTCCACTGCAGACTTTTGTGGGATCCATTTCTACAGGAAATGCACATGCACAGAACAAACACATAGAAAGGGATGATGCAGAGCTATCAGGATCCATCAGAGTGCTAGAGTAATTTTAGCATGGCTGCCTCCAGGTGAATCAATCTAGTAATGTTTGTGCAGATGAAGATTAGCTCTGTATTTAAAGCATTGAGAAATCAAAGCAGTTTTATATTAATGTAATTGATGAATGCAGCAGCTAAGTTCTGAGTTGGTGCAACAGAGCTAAGAGGGAGGGGGGGGAAAAAGGAGTGTTTGAACCAAAGGTCACAGGGCCATTTGCTATATTTGCTCTACTTTGCACAGAGATACTGTGCTAGCAAAGACAGTCCTCCATTACGCCTGTAGCTCTTCTATAGTGATGTCCCAGTGACATAATGCACAGACTTTGTGTGCCAAAGCTTAAAAATGCCTTTTGTGGAGGACTGAAATAGGAAAAAAAAACCCCAAACTTTTGACCACTGGAAGATAAAATCTTCTAATGATGCTGAATATGATCTAAAGGCAAGGCACTGAAAGTCACCTTCCTGCCATCTCCCCACTTCATTGCAGTGTTTCACCTTCTGACACAGGAACCCAAATCCCAGAAAGTAGGAGATTTAACACATGCCTATTCAGATCAATCTGTGATCATGATCAGATACCAGATCATCCTTGCTGAGGCACAATTCAGCACAGCTTCTGTGCAGGCTTACCTTTGTGTATTTCAGTCCATGATCTGGGTTTTCTTCTCCTGTCCTCCTATTAAGTAATAACAAACCAGTCCTTCAAAGCTACTTCTCTTTCTCCTCCTACTTAACATCTTTCTGGAGTTGTTTCCTTTAAGATACCTCTGGAAATCATAAGCCTGAAAAGTGTCTTTTTTCTCTAGGCTATTTCCATAGACAAACACATCACCTCCTCTTCTCATGCACTATTAGTGACCCTGCAGCTGCCATCAGACTTCACTTACCTCCACAGAGGCACCAGCCCTACCATGACTGCACAGGGAGCGTGAAGAGGTACTGAGTGCATGCTGCATTACACAAGTGACAACACAATAATTCCTATTTTTATGGGTTGAGGATCCTTCTATCTCTGCATAGGGAAGGATGCAGCTCTTCTCCAGGAACTGCTGTTATAACAAAAATGATGCCTTCAGACTGGAGAGAGGGGGCAAAGGCTGTTGTTTATTGTCCAGACAACAGCCCACACTTGTGCAGATCAGTATTCCCTGGCTGATTTGAGCTAGGCAATGCCCCACCACACCCACACCAGTACAATGCCTAGAGACTGTGGTAACACCTTAGCTAAGGTTGCAAACCATGCAAACCACAGCCAGTGAGGCCACAATATGGGGAAACATCAGTATGCCAGATGAACAACGGCAGTAAGAGGAGAAACTCAATGAATGTCAGACTCCGGGCTCCCACTGAGAGCCCTCTGTTCTGGAACCTCCACTGCTGAAGCCCTTACATAGGCTTCCAATGCTTTAGGGATTTCACCAAAAGTACAGTTTTAGGTCCATACTTAGGACTATAAACAGGATGGAGTAAGAAATCAGAGGATGCTTTCCTATAGTTCAGCCCTTAGCTAACTGAGGCAGAATTGAGGCAGCCTCTGTGAGGGGAAAGACTATCCACCCAGACACATCAAAAGGTGTTTCATCCTTAAATATACCACAGCTGATCACAGCTTAAGGTCACTCACATTCCTGGTGAAATAGAAGTTGACTTCTCTGACTGATTTTTGCATGATTCAGGTGGGGTCAGGATTCCTTTTGCCCATGAGTGCAGTTCTGGCTATCACAACACAGAGCCCAAGGACTCTATGGACTCACTTTCAAACCAAAGACAAAGGTTTAAGCTCCAAGAATCCAATTTTAAGAGTGCTGTAACTATTAAGCACGGACACAATGTTGGGAGACACTGGGCCTGATATAAACATCCACAAAGAGTGCAGGGTAGCTGTCCTCCTACAACCCTATGCCTACATTTTCTTCACAGGCACTGGAGAGAAATAGAAGCAGAGCTCAACACATATGACATGCCAAAACAATATCTTCATCACACTGGAGTAGAATCAAATTTGGGAACTAATTTTTTTTTTTTCATTTTCCATACAACAGATTAAACCTGTATACTGAACCAAAAGAATAAGAGTCAGAAAAAAAATGCTCTGAATTAAAAAAAAAAGATTAAATGCTTTGAAAATATATGGAAATAAAACCTTGCCAGACTATCTCACCTTGGGAGATGAAAAAAAATGTCTGTAATGATGTATTCCCTCAAAAATGACAGAAAACAAGAATCTGAATTGCTCAGTATAGAAATCCAGCAGCTAGTAATAAACAGGACATTAGCACTGTACTAGTCCAACAAAGCACATGTGTGACAGATTAGGAGAGACAAACAGTATCAGCTACACTAGTCTGACTGTCCAGCAAAGTACAAGCATAGTCTTGTACTTCTAGTGGGGAAACATGCTCTTGGGGAGAGGGTGACAGCCTAACATCCTTATTCATTCACATGTGGATTAAATTCAGTGCATGTATAGAAAAACAAAACCATACCACTCATGTTGAACTATGCTTGAACCATTTGTTTTCATAAAAACCAAAGATATGCAGGAAACATTCTTTGGTTCTTCAGGAGTTTGGTTCAAAATGAGTCTATAATAATAGTAACAATATTTTTCATAATCGAGCATTAGTAGAAGAGCTTACAATGATCCCAGATTCAAGCAGACACAATTAGGTCTGCAGAAGAGCAGCATAATTGAGACCAGTGTATTGTGCCACAAAAGCTAACTGCATTACCTACCAATGAAATCTGCAGCTCTGGGAGGAGTGAGAGGAGCATGAAGCTGAGAATTAGCCAAAGCATGTGGGTGAAGCAGAGAGACAATGACAAAGGGAGAGAGACAATGATGGCTAACTAAGGCATGGCAGGGGAGGAAAGAAGATACCTGTAGGCAGCACTAGGTGAGGAGAACTTTTCACTTTCTTCACAGGGATTATTTTAACGGCAGAAATAGAACGTGTACATAAAGGGACGTCAACAGCTGCAAACACAAAAGTGTAAATGGCACATCCAAAAAGGAAAGAACAGAGCTTGGGAAGCATGCCACAAAATTTTCTAATGTACTCGGAGACACAATAGCAGGAAATTTCAAATACAAAAGCAGTCTAGAGAGCAATGATGCAACTGTTAAAAATATCCCTTCATTCTCCCTAATTCAGGATGTGTCTGTTTTATGCAGCATACAGAACTGCTTACTGAATGGACTAACTAACTAATGCTGACTGCCACTATGCTGCAGGCAAAAAGAATCTGGAAGCATTAGTTTTTAGAAGCCACCAAAAAATTTAGTGTAATCATTTAACTGAGGTACACTACATGCAAAAATAAAAATGTTAAGTAAAACATTAATATGGTTCAACAAAAACAAAATAAAGTGAAAAAAACAAACCAAGTACTGAAAGACTGAGGGAAGAACATTAAACTAGCCACATTACATTAATTCTGAATTTCATGGCTCATTTTTTACAAGTTCAACAACAGAAGGAAATAAAATAATCTTGAAAAAGGTCCCATGCTAAAGCGTAGCACCCATATAGCTATTTCAGAAAAAAAAAAAAATACATCCATATAAACAGTAAATTGAAGAGATTTCTACTTGACTTCATTAGCTAGCACACTAATTATACTATATGTGGTAACATTGGGGAAAACCACACATACCACTATGCAAAATTCTAGCAATTGTTACAAAACTGTTCAAACCAATGGGTACAAAGAGGGGTCATTGTGAAAAGGCAGTACTATTTACAGGTGAAGCTCAACAGGAGCTGCCAAGATAAACATCTTGTATATCATGACTCTACCAGCATAATTTAAGTAGTGCTCTTGATTATGCAAAGCCAGGATTTTCTTCTATAGAACCCGTCTCCTGTGTGTATTTTCTGGCAAATGCTAAATGTCTCGTCATATTCCATGCCATCTCATGCCTGTAAAATCAGGAGCAAGAGGAGCCACATCTTTAATACTTTACAGACTAACACTGAGCACTGGGCCAGCTTTGAGGCAGACACTGACATCAGGGTGGTGTGTATGCCCCCTCTTGTGGCAGATCTTTCTGATACCCAGCAAAACTGGAGAGCACAGATTTCACAACCTAGAAAAGGGGTTTCAGGCATCAAAAGCCTGGGCAAAGAGCCCAACAGAATTTTTTTCAAAACTCATAAAATTATTAGTATTTAATTTGATAGGTTTATTTAATTTTTTTTTTTTTTTTATAAAAGAGGAAACCAAATCAATCCCTTTTTCCACATTCCTTCCTGAGCAGAGACCCTGTGAATACAACAGAACCCAAATCAAACAGCCTGTGGCTTAGGAAACAGTATTGATTCTGTTCTGCTTTGAAACTGACTGAATTAAACTGTCCACAATGCAGTCAAAATACTAACCACTATAAAAAGGCATCAAAGGAAAAGAAAGGAAATTAAACCAACAGAAAATCAGTCCATACCCACATACTTTCTCTCTGCCTAAACAGACACAGTCACTCCACAAAACTGAATGCTATAAAGCACACTGCAAACCCGCTGATGTTAACATGAAGACTGGTTTGTTTAGATTTTTTTCATCTCTGAAATGTTTAGTTCCTGCTGTTCAGTCCCAGACTTAAACCTTCACTTCTCCCTGAAGTTAACACAGTTCACACACAGGCACCACACACCCATGCTGTCTCAACTCACTAAGATACCAATTCGCAGGTGCTCACAAGTAGTGTACAGCTTTCCTCAACACAGCACTAAAAATACACAAAGAGGCAAGGCCAGCCTGCCACTTTAAAGAGACAAAGAACACTTGTTGAGCTAAGAAATGCTGCTGTTACTAGCATGGTGCAGTACAAGACTTTTCTTGTGTCAGTCGCCAAGTGAACTGAATTTGGAAGCCTCCGCTGCAGTGAATTTCCGGGAAAACCAAGCACATCAGCAGCTGACATGCGGGAGGAGCTCTGGAGGTGTCTCTGGAGATCTTCACCCACCTTTTTCTTGTCCATTGCTGCTCAGCCCATTGACAACAGTTTTTGCAACATCAATTTCTTCATGTTCTATAAGACAAATGCAGTGGCTTTCAGTAAAGATGTTTGCAAATCTACAAGGTCTTCGGCTGACAAAAATAAAACTGGCTCATGTAAATTCAGGGAAACACAGGAGACCGTGCTAGAAAGAGGCTCCAAAGCTCATCTAAAGCCCTATTTCTGAACATGAATGAAACAAATCTACCTCTGTCACTCCTGACAAATGTTTGCCTAATGAGTTCTTACAAACTTCCAGCACCACCCTAATGCAACCTGTTCCAGTGCTTACCAGCCTGTACACTTTTCAGTGCTTACACTGAATTCCCAGGTCATGTTTTTCTGAACTCCTTTCAAATACTTCACATTTTTTTCAAAATGTTGTGCCAAAACCAGGACATGATACCCCAGTTGAGACTTGCTAAGATGCTAAAATTAAGTGGGAATACCATTCTACAGATCTTACAGATCTCTCTTCAAGTCTGGCATCTGCTTTATTTTTCACCCTGATTTAACCTGTTACCCAGACAAGCCCAGAAGTTTTCCTCTTCCCAAACAGCTCTCATTTCCCAGTCCCTTGTTTTTCTTTGAACAGCTGATTTTTTCCCTATCCATATGTCAAACTATGTTTTCATCTCTACTAAAATATATCAAATTCAGATGATTTTTTCAGGTTATCAATAATTTTGAATTCTTATATTCCACACTGAAATAAGCTACAGGACCTACTCCAGTTCAAGATGCTTCTAGCTACTTTTTGGGCCAAAATTCAAGTAACAAATGTGAATAATTGCATCAGAAACAAACAGGAATATTACTAGTAACAGAAAGGAACACAAATGAGTGCAAGTAGAAAACAACACAGTCTTACCAGAGCTCATTGTGGCAGAGGGACTTGCCTTTTCTACTTCTGGATTTTGTTTATGTCTGTTTAGAGTGAAAGACAGAATAATTACATTATGTTTCATGTCTGTCCAGACACAATGCACTGGACACAATGCTGAACATTCACCACAAGAGTCAAGGTAACAGTCATAGTATCTTTTAAAAAATTACTTTCAAATGCCAAGTGGATTCATGTCAAGCACCATATAATTTTTTTTCCTGATAATTATCATAAATTAAAGATTATTTCTACCAATACAAACACTGCTTCCAGACTTTAAGACTAATCTTCATGTGAAATTGAAAGATAGTAATTAAAGTCTAAGAGTCTATAAACGGCAAAGTTCAAGTCTGACTGGTTTCTAAGACACAAACTGTGCATCACCTTTTGAGAGAGTTTTACAAAATCAAAGTGACACTAAAAGCTTTAAACTAAAACCCTCAAATTAGAGCTTTTCCATATTTCAAGGCAATCTGTTGCTCATATCAAAGCTAGTCTCTCCTTTGAAAGATATAACAATACAGAAGAGATACACTTGTTAAAATGCCTATTGTAACTTCTGCACCAGTCATTTCCAGCTGTGCTGATATTTCCAGCATCAGACTCCAGTAAGTGAAAGGTGAAAGCTGGAAGGTTTAATTCTCCTGTTACCAAAGGCAGTGAAATTGTCAACCCAAGAGAAAAAGTACCAGATGGGGATCAGAAGAAAAAGTCACTTTTCATGGTGATGCCAATCTGTGGAGGACAATTGTGAGGCCTATCTGTCCTCACTCCTCTGGGGACCTGATACCTGCAGCAAACAGGTTTCAATGTCACTGACTGGTGGTTAGAATAGCCACAGAGCATTTCTAAAAAAAAAAAAAAAGTGTGTTTGACAAGCTTGCTCAACTCTCTAAAGGTCCTAGGTTGAATTAAAAGTCCTTTAATTTTGTGTTCCAATCTCCACCTCTCCCCCCACCAAAAAGTTAGCCCCAAATAAAGTGAGATCAAGTGCAGCTCCAGACAATTAATGGCTTTCATGACACCAATAGAAATATGCATCTGAAATCAAAAAATCATGCAAATACAAGAAGCCCAAACTAAGGAGTATAGGGAAAATTGCTTGGGGAAACAAGAAACCAAACAACAGAGTTGGAAATACTTTTCCTTTTACATGAATTGGAGGCAGCAGTGGAACATTGTAAGAGGTGAAAATTCCCTTCAGGGAATTGAATTTGTTCTCCTGCCTCAAGCATCTCCTTTCTTAACCAGCATTTGTTTCATGCCAGCCAGAATATAATGAGCATGTTCTACAGACACTCAAAAGGAAAGAAAACCCAACAAGCAAGAAAAGTAACAGATGAGACTATAAAATGAGACAATATCTGGGCTCCCCAGCAAGCCACCCTAGGAATAGCTGCCAACACTTAATTGTTTAAGTACTTCCTTCACTAAAATACCCACATAAGATATGCATTGTGGGTTCATGAATCCTCAGCAGGATTCAGCCTAGCTCCAAGTTGGTCCCAGAAAAATACAATGTAAAGTGGGGGGTACACTATAAAATCAGCCAACAACAAAAACTGAGTCCAACTAGAAAGGCTGCCTGATTTTGCCTGCCCATACAGTATCTGCTTTTTATTTCTACCATTTCATATTAGTAGTGAGTCCCTGAAATAGTAATGGTTGATACAGCCTGAAAATGTGGACAAACATACTTAGTAATAATGGTCCTTCTGATCTCTGTATGTTTGCATTCCAGAAAGATGCCTTAGTTCATGCAAATCAAAAAGAAGCAGTCCAAAATTACGTTATCCAGCTTAAGGAGATTTGTAGCAACACTGTGCTTTTCTACCCATAGAAAAATGATACGTACTAAACTCACTGGGATAAATACCAGTCATTCCATGGGCCAGGAGATAAGCACAAGAAGGGGCAACGCTGCAGTGAATCTCATCTCATCTTTAGGAACAATCTCTCTCTGAAGCTGAGAGGTTGCTGATACCCAGGTGTTTTAACTCAGCACTGGCCTACCCCATGGGCTTCAAGCAAGTCAGCACAGAATTTCTTCCACTCCAAGCATCCCCAAGAGGTTGCAATGCTTTCCTCTGGTATGCAAGATTAAAAAGGAGTGGGGAAAAATAATTCAATATATTACTTTTTCAGGGGAGGAAAGAGGATTTACTGGCTATAATGTCTGGGCTAAGGCAGGGTCCACTGCTGCTGCAATGCCGCAGCAACACTTCCCCTCCCACAACAGGGAGCAATTAAACTCAGGTCCACATGCTTCACCCTTTTAAAATGTCTCATTTGTTTGGAAACACTGACATCACAACTGCCATGAAACTCTGATTTCAAAAATGTCTTTTTGATTCAAGTCTTGACATTGCTTACAGTGCAAAGCACTGACCTTCACTGCATTAAGGAAAGTATTTAGGAAAAAATTCACACCAAAAAGAAGCATAACTATTTAGCATTAATAGATTAAATTACCTTTTACAAACAAGTGATTTGAGGAAAATACCAAAGCAATAATTAAAGAAGATTGCTAAAATTAAATGGAAGATGGGTACAAACTCATTAGATCTAGATTGGATCTGAAAAAATTACTTTTCCACATATCCGCACACTTACTAGCAATTATGGAATTCAATTAAAATAACAAGCATCCAGTGTTCACTTACTGTGAAACTAATCAGCTTCCTTCAAGCACTCAAACATGTGCTTAGTGCGAGTTCCCATACACAGAAAGGATTCAGCATGCTCAGCTGAGAGTAACCAATCCTGCACTGGTTACACCTGCACTGGTCTAACTCCAGAAACTATGTTGAAAAGCTGATTTTGATCAGCTGAGAATCTGCACACAGATCTAGTGCATACAAGTAGAAATAACTCCTGTTTAATTGACAAAATGACAGTGCATGTTTGGAGTTGAGAACATGCTGAGGCACCTTATTGCATCAGGGCTACAGAGTTATTCTATCTGTCTGCAACATACTTGATCCAAAGCACAAACTGGAATGCTATTAGGCCTATCCCAGTCCTGGGGCTGCTCTTGGGATCAGATGGACACTCCAGGCAGGTAACACGTCTGGCTTCACGGGCACCAGTGTAGCCAAGTACTGGCCTGTACCAGCTGGGAAGGCACACGCTGTAAGCCAGGGTGCTATGGATGTTTGGATGGGACATCCTTAGGTAGACTAGTCCCTGTCAGGCTGGGCAGACAGGCTGTCCCTGGAAACAGGTGAGTTTGGAATAATTTGCTGCTCCCCTCAAGAACTTTCATGGCCAAGCTGTTCCTTCAGACACACACAGGATGCACTGTATGTAAAGGGAACCAAGAATGAGGACCTTCATGTCAGTGTTAAAAACTAAGAACTCCCTATTGCCAGATCAGGCAAAGAAAAAAAGAAAAATACTAGAAAAAGTACTCTAAAGCAAAACCCCCATATGTCTCCTTTCAGCTCCCGGCTCCAACCAGCTAGCCAGTGTGTCCTTGCCAGCCTGGAATTAGTGCCTTTCCTGAAACAACAGACATAGCAACAAAGGCTTCAAAGCTGTACACATGCAAAACACAATGAAAGGTAATGAATTCCTCAGGGCATAAACCAGCAGCTGTAACCCTGAACATGCCAATGTCCATACGTAACATCCACCAACTCCTTGTCAGGTCAGTCCTACCTCTAGACAGATGTTTAACTTTTCCTTCCTCCCTTTCACCCCCAACATATTTCTCCAAGGCTGCAGTTCCTTCCCTACTTGGTGTGGAAAAGAGAGCAGCATGTTCAGAAGCCTATTTAGGAGGAATGCAGATAAGTGGCAACCACTTCTGTACAGCCTGTCTGGATTATCTCACATGCTCTAAAGGTTTGAATACTCCCCCTACAAAGGCAGGGGTAACAAACAGCTCATTAATAGTTCTGAGCAAGGACACATGCTCTCAGGTCACTGGTATCTCAGCTAAGAGTCGTGGGCAGTCGTTATTTTTGGTGATCTAATGTGAGTGTGGGGAAAAGTAACTTCCTTTCTTCCCTTGTTATTACTGACAGCTCTGGTGACTCACATAGCATTTTAAACCAATTGCTATGCATGAGATGAACATTCAAAACTTATTGTGCTTATCCCTTATATTCCTGAGATGTAGATCCCTTTATTTTTCTCAGTTTCAAGTTTTTCACATTTTCAAAGTTTTCTCTCTAAAAACAAGAAGAGCTTTAAGTGCTTTGTGCATTTAAGATGCATTTAAATGAAAAATCAAAATCTTATGTATATTAGTATAAAGTACAAGTTGAGGCTATCAGAAAAATTGCAAGCTTTCAGACTAAAAGGATGATTAACAATCACAAAACTTACTTTTCACCTGGTCAGGTCTTACACATCACTGGCAGCACTCACTTGTTTCACCCTGGCTCAGATCCTTTCTCACAATGCCATCAGTGTCCCTGACCCAAATGCTCCTCTTCGAGGAGCCATGTCAGCAATACAAAGTCCCAAATCTGGAAAGTGGGCAAAGAGCTGCACTGCAGTCAGTGCCTCCCACCAGCATGTTCCTCTGCTTAAAGGAACTTTCTAGAAAAACACATCTCCTGTGCACTTCTCACCTCACATCATATAAAACGTGACAAGAGAAAAAAATAACTTAGAATAGAGCAGGCAGCTCAGGTTAACCCAGGCAATCGGCTCTCTCTTCAACTACCATTATTCTCTTATTCTGGAATACTGAAATACGTTGTCTGTCATTTTTATTTTAAGGGTCAAAGAACATCCTGTCATTCCTTCAGAAGACATTATGCTCCTAAGAATAAAAGTCATGAAAAGCCTGTGAGTAAGCAAGCAGTACACATAGAATAATCACACCAATTCTGTACAAGACAACAGCTTCCACACACTCTTCAGCAAGTGCTAAGACAGCAGAGAGAGAGCACTGAAAGCTTACTAAATGAAACAAATGGCATCATTACACACCAGCTTGGATAAGGCATTCTTATAAATAATTGAACTTACAGCTGTTATGATAAACAAACACAGCACATTTCAAATGCAGTACTGCTTCCTTCTTTTCCTTTAAATATAGTGCGTGTCTGCTGCCTTCCAAATGAGCAAATTAAATTATCTGGGGCATAGGTGCCAGTTTTTGGGCAATTTATAAGGAATGTGCCTCTCTCAATAACAAAAATTAAATAGAAAATGTAAACTAGGAGCTACAGCTTTAAGAATTCCGAGATGCTTTTGAACTAAGTCATCTTACAGTCGTCAGCTTCAGAGTAAACAAAGTTTGCTGCAACCTGAGTTGACTCAGTTCAAGGTCACCACTTGTGGAGCAGGGGGCAGAAAAGAATCTCCTGGGTCATCCAGCCTACTCCCATGCTATTGCAGGCAACTGTGTCATACAACCCTGTGCAAGAACACTTCACATTCCAGTTTAAAACTGCTAAAATTTCCCGCCTCCACTGCTCTTCCTGGAAGCCTGTTCCAGAACTCATTCCCCTTATGGCATGAATGCTGTTTCTCATCTGCAACCTAAATCATATTCATGAACAGCTACAGATAAATTGTTTTGCACCAGCACAATTTTTCTGTTTGAGCAGGTCCTCCTCCTTGCACTCACCCCTATCCATGCATTTTTAGAAAGCAATTGCTCCTCTGAGTCTTCCTCAGAAGTGCAATTGCATTCCCAAAGAAATTGGCCAGTGTGCTGCGACCCATCTCAATAAAATCAGGCAAATAGTGAAGACTTCAAAAGGTCGGCAGGCCAAAGTCTAAACTCCACTGAACGTCACAAAGGCAGTGAGCAAAGCCTACAGCTGACATGCCAACAGCTGAACAGCAAGGCTAAAAAGGTAAATTATCTCTTTTTGTCCATTCTGCCTCTGACCTCTACACTAAAACTAATTTCATGATTAGTGCTAGTTCAGATAGTGACTTGATGTCTACAGGAACCTCCCTGCAAAGAAACAGACTGGCATAATTTCATACTAGCCACTAAACCTTGATTTAAAAACACTCACTTATACCTGGAAGATTGTGTGGATGAAAGGTTGCTCTTGCTTGAGCCATCAACCTCCTGCTCTGCTGCAGACTCAGGGTTGAAAAACAGCCATCCAGAAGGTTGTTTGGATCACAGCCGACTTGACATGTACTTTAGCACCATTCCCTCTGGATAAGAAACTGCTTACATTCCTGCCTTACAGTCAAAACATTTCTTCTCCTGACAATAGACTCCAAATATACTTGTAACTGGGCTTTGACTTCCTCCTGAGTCTGTAGTGACTGCCCTCTGTCTTTAGTATTTGCTGGCTGAGACATGGTGACAGGAGCCCTGGCCCATGTATCGTGGGTGTCAGCTGAAGAAACAAATGCCTTTCTGCCACACCCATACACCCAAGCAACTCACATGAACATTTTGAAACTTCAGAAAGAAAACGAACATTTTCCAGGATATTTTGAATAAAGTCTCATCTCTATCTTAGCAAAAGACAAAAAGCACAGCACTTGACAGCAGCAGTAGCTGAGATTTCTGTTCAGATTTATCTGCAATACATATGATCACATCTCATAGATGGAAACACTTTACAAACAAGCTGATGTACATCCTATAAAAGGGAGCTCACTGGACACAGATCTCAGGCTACCAGCTCCAGGGAAGGCTGTAAACATTTAACAGCATACCACAACCTGGGACTGTTCACTTAACTGAGATTCACACAGGAACTGGGGCAAGGAGCACACAACTACTGAAACTGGAATTTATTTACAGGTAGGGGGTAACTCGTTCCATGACACCCAATTTACCTTTGTTGCAAAAAGAAAATCTTTCAATCTGCAATGACCGCACCTAGCCAAGAGGATGCTGCCTTTGTACTTCAGCTGGAAGAAATGGAGGATTCACTGAATTCAAGCTGTTGTGAGACTACTTGTAAGAGCTGTGCAGCTGGGGTGCTCTGGGTACTGCACCTAACTCTCTGCAGACCTCTGACATGGGGCCACTTGTGCCTCGACAGAACAATTGCTGTAAATAAACAGACCCAAATTCCAGAAGCCCTAATTATGTATAACAATGAACCCATTCAGCTGACTGCAGGATTGAGGGACACAAACACTGCACTGCATTTACTACAGTGAATGGCATTCTATAAATACAAATCAATTAGATCATCTAAACAACATCCAGCAGCTTCTCTTGTATGACTTCGTATAACAAAGACTACAAAGGCTGTCTTCACCTTTATCACACACTCACAAACAGTAAAGTAGTAAATAAGAGGAAGTTGCATTAAGTAGAAATACTAATTAGAGAATGACTAGTGTCTCAAAGTTCAAATCCAGTTTACAAACATTTCATAAAAATTAAAGAGAAGACTCTGATGCGCCTTTGAGATATAAAACAGATGCTCTAGATACTTTAATGCTACAGACCATCTTATACCATTCCAGACACATCCTGAGATTTTCAGTTGTGTAAGGCAGAGGAATTGCGCAGGCCTGAATGAGTGCTCACTGTGGCAGCCACACCAAATGTTAATTATGACCTCTTCCAGCATTAGCTGTTCTAAAGCTCTGTACAAACACTCACTAAGCTACAGCTAATAATTTTCAATACATAGAGGTGATAGTTTTATTTTATACCAAGATGGAAGATTTGGGCCTCTATCCTATGCAACATCCAAAACTAGCTGATGTGGCATAGTGTAACAGGGCCTTATAAGTATCAGTCTTACAGGTTGCTTTTTATAGTTTCAAAATAAGAAAAATCTGTTTGAGAGTTGGTCTCCTTCACAAACAGCTGCAACAACCTCCAGAGAACCACACAGAGCTAAGTCTAACCAAAGCACACAGGGAGTCGGGCATACAATACTGCCAACACATCTCTGACAAACCTAGTTGGAAGCAAGCTGAAATCAGACAAGGTAATTTTCTTTAACCTCTTCCAACCTGGAAGCACTGCTATGCTAGCAAAATTGCTAGGGGACTATATTCATCCGCCTGGATATCAGACACAAAATGGTCTCAGCAAAACTCAGAAGGCTGGCCACTGGCCTGCTAGTCCTGATGGACTGTGCTGCCTTCAGAGTCACCTACATGCCAGACAGAAGGACTCAGTGACTGCTTCTCTACTCACTACTGAGAACACTTGCAGAAAACCAAACTGATGAGTGAAGCAACAGTCTGACATTCCAAGTGTCTCCAGAAATAGCAGAAAGTTACATTCCAGAAACCAGTCCTCATCTCTACTTCCCTCTGACTCCTCCTGCCTCAGGTGACAAATTCATATATTGCTGAGAATTCCACATCCATTCTCTTCACTTTCCTCTTAAGTAGCTGCCTCAGAATCTGCATTCAAGAGCTCCTTTCAATTTCTCTTTCCCATAAAAATAATTAGGAGAAAGATCCAGTCACTAGGGTAAGGAGGCAAGGACATGCCCATTTCCCTTAATGAGAACACAGACCCATGTAATGACTACCTTGATTTGCCTCTTTTGCCTGATCAGCAAGCAGAAATATCTATCCAAATGAAAGCAGCATTCTGAAAATCAGTGTGCACTGCCCACCAGACCTACCCACTCAATGTATATTAGCATATACCAGAGTCATATAAAGTCCTGGGAGTTCAGCTCACAGCAGGTCTAGCAGAGGTAGATGTGACAAACTGTGACTAAAAACCATGCTGGTGTCCTTACCTCAATTCAGGCTTTTCAGTCAATGGAGCCATTTTCTTAATCTCTTGATTTCACTCCATGAGAGGCACGAAAGAGTTAAGAAAACCTTTCACTGTGTTGCCCAGTCACTTGGCTGCTGAAGTGTAAGAAATTGGTGGAGACATCTCTCTTTCTCTCTGGCACCCTTAAATACTTTGCTCCTCCTACTGCCGTGCTTTAATTAGCCAGCTGGTTCTTAGTCACCCCATCCTGTCACTAGGCTTGCTCACCAACAGCCACCCCCACCCAGCCTGCCTGTCACTCCCCTGCCACTGTCATCACCAAGGACACTGTCTCTTCCTGCAGCTCTGGAGCGAGAGAAGGGAAGGAGAAAAAGGGTGGAGGTGACACTCCAGGGTAGCATTGGATGCACTTGAGAAGTGACAGAAAGACCTTGAAGGGATGTTAAATTACAGGGAAAGTACTTGAAAAAGCACTTTTCTGTTTTGTTTTTTTTTTTTTTTTTTTTTAATCAGGCAGCATCCACTTATCTAGGAAGGAAAATTTTCATTAGCACTGGACATGGCAGATCCTATTTCAATGGCTAGGAGCTGAAGGGGCAGCTAAAGTTTCTGCTCTTGGCAGGTGAGATTTGTAGCATAAATACCTGACATGACACAAGGGGAAACTAACTGCTTGTAGGGCTAAAACGTTTTACATGCCCACTCCTTGAGCATTGTAACAGGCATCAAAGAAGTTTCTGAGCCATCAGCAGTACTAGGGTGTCCCTAGAGGGAGTGCCCCCACCACAGTGTGGCTTGGCAACCTAAAACTTGTCATGGAGTGGAAGTGATGGCAGCTTTTAAGAGAGCAAGAGTATCTCACATCCCCAGGCCTGGGCAGCCCTTCAGTGGGAAGGCGAACTGCAACACAGAATCACCCTTCCTTCCACAGCCAATGTCTACAACACAAACAAATGGGACAAAGACTTCATTAACTCAGACCCTGGAGGCTGTCTCATGCAAGACCAAGTGGTAATTTAATAGTGGAAATAATTTGGAGGCCCCTAAGCCTCTTGGTACTATCCTTTGTCACCAGCACTGGCTTTCATGACTGACACTCCAATGTGTCTCTATTTGCAGCCTGTCCCTGGATTTTGATTCCTCAAATACACACGTACAGACATTGATCTGCTGCCAAACTTACAGACTGATAAAATGTACTGAAAATGATTGCAAGATGAGCATCTCAGCATTCAAATGAGACCTAGAAAGCAACACAGATGGCAAGAGTTGCTGATTGCAGAAGGGCATAGAGCAAAACTGATTCTGTAGGTCAAAGCTTACACTACTGATACTTTCAGTAAAATGTTAGCAAAGGACACAGAACAAAGGTCTCCAAATACCTACACATATAAATCCACACTCATCCTCTGTCAAATGCTGACTCAGCAACACAAGCTCTCCTTTTTCCTCCCCAGTAAATCCTTTAGCATCCCAATACTTACCTCCCACCAAATGAAGCATTTCATTGTAAACCAAAATTGGCATAACTCCAACTTGGTATATTGGCTAAGGGGCCAGAAAGAGCTGCTCTATTTTACTTCATTGAAGACCAATCCCAAACCTCAGTGTGAACATGGCAGTGATAGTTCTAATCAGAGTAAACAAAGGGCTTTGGAGCCCACATTTACTACCACATCCCAAAGACTAATGTTGGGGAGTTTGTACCTAGGTTTTTGATTTATCTACCACAGCAGATACCAGACACCATTAGCAAAACTCAGGCCTGGATCTAGGTTTAGAGTCTAGTCCCTTTACATTTGAGGCGTGTTTGGTTTGGGTGGAGGAAGAGGGTCATTTCAGATGTATCAACAGTCAGAATAAAGGGTGATGGAAAACAATTTGTATGTTTTGAGTAGTCAGATCCTACTCTCTTATTTACAAAAAAAATGCAAACTAATCAACCAAACAAAAAACCCTAACCCCACGTGGCTCTCAAAACAAACCAGGAAAGCCAACAAAAGCCCTCACATTCTCCAAAGTAAGCTGTGCAGTCATCGCCAACTCCAATTATTTGAAACATACTTATTTACACAATATGAAACAGTTTACACAGTATGCAACAGGAGATACCCATCAGAACCCAAAGACAACATCCTTGATCTCCTTCATGTCTCTTGTGAAGCCTGGCCCACATGAGAGCAGGCCAGTTGGAAGCTGTATTTGCTGTGTAGCAGGGGATTATAAACAGGCCCCTGACAGTTTGTCTTCAGGTAACAAAAATGACAGTAATTTTAAAAAAATTGTAAAAGTAACAGGTAGTGAATGAAAGCATGGCACCTAGGGAGAGGCAAAGTAAGGAAGGATCCAGAAGTTGGCTCATGTCCAAAGTTAGGATGGTCAGATCAAGATGGGCTTTGAAACATTGCTGGTCTTTGCAGAAAACAGCTGAGAGGACCTTCAAACAGCTTGGGAGGAGTTTCTATTACAGACCACCACTTGAATGGAAAACAGAATTTTCACAGAATTCCACCTGGGTGAAGAGCATCAAGCTTTGTCTGGCTGCAGGGCCACAATGCTTGGCTGTTTCTAAAGTCAACCTTGAATTCAGGATAAAAAACCTTATGAAGGGTTGATGTTTTACCATCAACCCGCTGTACTAATGTACTGTGCTCTGCAATTTTCCTGGCATCTGCTGTTGCACAATCCTTGCTGTGTTTTTCCCCATAATACCATGTCTTTGTGAAAGATAACTTCACCATAGTGGTAGAAGGAAATAGCAAAAAGGAGCAGATTCATTTTTTCAACAAAGGAAGTCTTTGGCATAACAGAAGTAGATGTTGGTTCTAGGATATTCTGGACACCTGCTCTAGTAGCCACTGGACAAACCTGTTTTCACTGGAGGGAGTAATTTTACCAGTTATAAGCTACCCTGAAAAGCTCTGTTGCACAATCCAAGCAGGTTTTTTTATTTTGGTAAATATCACACAGCTATCCTAGTTCTTTTATGCCACCCCAATATGCTGTGGGACTAGGCTTTCCAGCTACCAGAAGAAGGCAGAGGTGCTGTGACAGGGAGTTTAGAAAAGGAAGTACTTTTGATAGATCTGGGAAATGCTGAACAAAAGTGATTGAAGTTACTTCATTCTGCAGATAGAGGAGGAAGGCAAGCAAGCTTGCATCATGCTAGTGCTTTTAGTTCAGTTCCAGGGTTTGAATTGCAAAACAAAACTCAGCCAAAATAACACGCTGCTGGAGTTCCACCCAGTACTGTCAATGAGCACAAACTCATTCACCCAACATCCTTGCCCTGCTTTGTTACAAAACAGCCACCCAGGTTGTGGTTAGGATAGAATGACAGCACCCTCTCTGCTACAAAAGATGAGCCCCACCTTGCCCCAAAGCTCCCAACACATGGACCCCCTTGACCTGAGCCTGAATTCTGCAGCTCAGTCCTGCCCAGCTGAAATGCAAGGGAAGCAGCAGCACTGCAGAATGAAATACTGTCACCAGCAGCCTCTACAATCTGCCAGGCTGCTCCTTCCAACTGCACAAGGACTCAGGAAGCACTTCCAGCTGAGTCTGCGTGGCATGAGGGGTTCAGACTGTTATCAGAGACTGAGAAGATTGAAGAACTCTCCTAGTGTCCCTTTTGGCTGTTGAAAATTAGGGCTGTACTGGAGATCAGTGATGCCCCATTTAAAACAGAATGAAATACCACCTGGCAGGATCCCAGTTTACCTGCACTCAGGATCTGAAGCATCTCAAGGGAAACCTCAGTGAGAGGCATGGCACCTGCTGCTGTTGTCTTCTGACTGCCAAACTCCATAGGAGGTGGACAGACTCTCTTACATCAGCACAAGCTGGGAGTGATCAGCTGTTTAGCAGGCACCTGAGTAGAACATTTTTTCCAGCTCCTACTGATCTGCTAACCTATTTTAATTCTCATGCATAAAAGAAAGTATAACCTTGCTCCTCTTCCTAGAATATCTGCTGAGCCTGGTCCAAGCAATTTTGTGGAATTCAGGACATGCTAACTGCAACACTATAAGGGAAAAACTTGGGGCCCAGCTATGTTCACTCCAAGGAAGTCCTAGGAAATGAATGGCAGTTACAGAATGAGACTGACAAAGCCTGCATCCTCATCTACACATAAGCATCTCCACCCCTTTGTACCCTCTGCTGCTACGTACACACAGACAAGATGGAAGCAAAACTTGCATGCTGGGATTTGTGGCATCTGTGCAAAACTGGGGTGTGGGACACAAGGGACTCAATGATCACTGGACTGCTTGTGGCAGGAGAACCCAGGCTTGTGTTCCTCTACTACAAAAGGACAAAGGCACTTCCTAAGTTTACTTTAGGCGGAGCTGTGCTTACTGATCCAACCAGCACCTCAGTCAATGAAAGGCACTGCTGACTGTGAAGGCAACAGAATACACCCCAATCAATATTAAAAGCTTCTGTAAAGGCACCAGCTGTTCACCACTGCTCTTAACCTTTCTGCTGTAGAGTTTAAATGAACCTCAAGGTAGTGTCAAGACAAAAATCGCCTCCTATATGACACAGAAAGAAGCTGAATTTCAATTCTCTTATTTTTCTTTAGACCCCAAATACTCAGATACTAGCCTAATCTCTGTGCCAGCACCTGAGTTTACTGGCTCTTCCAACGACAGTTATTTGTTAAGTTGCTGAGAGTAAAAAAGGAGACACAACAGTGTGGTAAAGAAGGGAACTTGTAGAAGGAGAAAAGAAAATTTAAACTGTGCTCTCTCTCTCCATCTCCGTATTTTCTTGCACTGCTTTTTCCTGCACCCTAAGTGCTAAAGACAAATGAATATCAAATCAGGCTACCCACAGCTGATTTTCTGTTCTCCAGGAACAGAACTACAGAGCCAAAAGAAGCAACATGTCTTCCAGCAGACAAGCCTGGGCATTCATGGAAACGAAGTCCCAGCAGTTCTGGGAAATGTATTTGCTCTGTGTGTCATTAATAAGCAAAAACCCAGCCCAAAAAGCCAGGCTGAGGAGAAATTTCGATTCTAACTTGGCCAGCTGGCCAGTTACATTTGTAACTATGAAAGTTAATGAGAGAGTAATCATATTTCACAGTTCACAGACGAAAGTCATTTCCTTTAGGAATTAATGATGGTTTAAATCATTGATTCCTCTCCTATAAACTGTAGCTGTCACA